TTCTCATGGAGAATGAGATGGAGATGGAGAACCAAACTCAATTAGAATGTTTGCCGATGTCACAATATCAAACGTCGTCACAATTAATAAACCCTCAGCTAAACAATCAACCACCATCCTTCATTGAAACTTCGTATAAAAATATACAACAATCGATTGTGCAATCTTCAACAACATCAAACCTGCTGTTTCAATCGCCAACATCATCAGTTTCATTCTACCCATCCTGTCCGTCGTCACCAGATTCATCATCAATGAAGTTGCCAACGTCAACAGTTTCTTCATATCAAGCCCCATCTTTGTTAATGCCAACTCCAACTTTTGCACCAGTGAAAACATTTCCTCAAGATATGCCGAACGCACCGTCACCACTGCATGCTAACGACTTTTATGAAATGCGGAAACAACAATATCAGCAGCATCGACAACAAACATTTCAAGACCCGCAGCTAATCCAACAGGAACAATATCAACCACAACAACAAATTCAACAACAACAACAACAACCTCATCAACAGCAATGTCTACAACAACCAATTCAACAGCAAAATTTTTACCACCAACAACAACAATTTCAGCAACAATCAAAACTTCAACAACAATTATTTCTGCAGAAATCACAACAATTTCAACAGCAACCTCAACTGCAGCAACAGAAATTATTTCAAAATTTTCAGCCACAAATTCAACCAAACCTTCAAGAAAATTCACATTACCAACAACCACTTCAACAAAAATCAACAATTCAACAACATCGATTCCAACCAGAACAACAATTTCAACAACAATCACAATTTTTCCAACAACCACAGTTTCAACAACAACCACAACAATATCAATTGCCTCACCTTCAACAACATTCACAATTTCAACAACCAGACCTACAGCAACATCAATTTCAGCATCAACTTCAACAATGGCAACATCAACAGCAGCATCAACTTCAACAACAACCACCATCCCAAGAACAACAACAACAGCAACTTTATCAGCAACAACAGAAACAGTATCAATTTCATCAACAACAGCAACAACTATTTCAACAACAACATCAACGTCAACAACCTTTGAACCAAGTTTTTCAAAACCGAAAACACTTAGCTAATATGGATAGCGATCAATCAATGTGGAAACAGCATCCTGATGTTGACCGACCCAAACAAAACTTTCATCCAACCAGCGGCTCAAATTTGAGTTCATCGACATTTTCTTCATCACGTTCGTCGTCAGTGCCAGCATCACCATTCACCAACACAACGACAGCACCACCACTTTCAACGATTAATGTTAACAGGCATCGCATATTTTCAGGAACCAGTGTATCGTCTCGAATTCAACAATTTCGTCCAAATTCGGCTGCAGAAGGGCCAGTGAACGTTTCGTCGAGACAGAGGCCACCCCAACTTGCCTGTAGAAACCTCGGTTTCCCAATAAGTAAAATGAGTAAAACAACACCAACGCCACCATCATCTTTTTCTCAGTCAACTTTTCCAACATCTCCAGGACACGTTGATAATGAAGTTTTTTCGCCAACGCAGCAAAAAATATTTAGAGAAGAATCATGTCTTGGTGGAAGCGCAACAGAGAATCTTAATTCAGTCGTTTTGTCACAGAACAGTTTAAATAAATTGCCCCACAGTGATTATATGATGTCGCATTCTTCACTCGATATGTCAAATTCAATTCAAGATGAACCTTATTCCAACAACTCAAACAGAAGTACGTACAACAACACATTCAACTACCAGCGATCAGTGGACGGTACAATCAACAACACAACCGCCGCTTCATATGTTCCATCAAGATCTCAACAACGTTACAAGCGGCAGCAAGATCCAGCAACATCAACAAGTTGCTCTCAACAGTCATTACCATCTCAACCAAAACAGTACCTCCTTTGACAACATTAACAACACCTTCATTTATAACATCAACAGCTTTTCCATTGGCAACATCAGCAACAACAACGCCTGTATCTAACTCACAAATATCTCCTTATTTAAATTTACAACAAAGGACATAACTTGAAAATATTTACTTTGTTTATTCAAGCGTTATAAGAATAGTGCCTGAACAATATTGATTATAACAATATTCACAATTTGCAAGATTTCGTTTTAAAATTAATTATTTAATTATTATTTAATTATTTAATCTAACTTATAATTTAAAGTTTAGCATTGTGTGCAAATATGATAATAAATTTAGTTATATAGATGGATGGATTTGTGAAACATTTTTAAGAGTCCAACATGTAACACTTTTGGCTTTGTTGATTAAAAATTATTTTTTGTTTAAGTTTTTATAAAAGTAATTTATTTAAATAATTAATTTGGAAAAACTTGAAAACGGCTTATTGCTTGTGTGTGTGTTATCGCTTCTTTTAAAGATTAATTTAGTGCTACTTGGCTTTTGATAATTTTTTATTTTGAACAATTCATTTCAAAAAATTCCAAATAAATTTTGTGTCGTTTATTTTTTTTTGCAGAATGAATAATTTAAAATCTGCTAACACATGAGGCAGCAAAAAATCTTTGCAATCAGATTGTTCACATAGTTTCTGCCATTCTGTGAAGATTTATTTTTATAAGATTATCAAATAAGACCACAAAATTTGTGACAAATAAATTTTTATGCTGACAACTTAGCTTAACGTTTTTAAAAAAAATTAAATTATTTTTTCAGATTTTTAACTCCCGTCTCATACTTGCTTGTTTTTACAAACTTCCTGGTTTATATATTTATTATACATACATGTTAGACGTTATTTGAATTAGGCTGATATACGCCTGGTTCACATTAGTCTTCAGTTTGTTTTTCTATGCAAAATAACTTTATTTATCCTGTGTAAACTTTGCAATGACTTTTATATTCCGCGAAATTTTAATTGTTATTAAAAACCTGCTTTCGAAATAAAAAGCTGGCAGTAAAGTTATTCAACATAAGGTAACACAAATGAAAGGAACAGGCGGTTGAGCAGACATGATGATAATAGTATATGTGCCCAATGGTTGATATTAACTGCAACATTTATTACGCTAAATTTAACTTATAATAACTATAAATAAATTACGTCATTTAACAAATTTGTATAACTTTTTGACGTTTTTAAATCATCAGATGCTTCAGTCAAACTCAAGTGTACATTTATTTCTTCAAAAAACTCGGAAGAAGCAGTTAGCGCTATCGTTTATGCGAAGGCAATATGGATAAAAATAAATATCTGCTCTGCCGAACACAATGTGTGCATTGTTCAGCTCAATGAAGCAAATTTATTTGAGAGTGACACGTGAAACAAAACATACACGCACAGTCGCATATTAAACAAGCAATGCACATCAGTTGATCGAGTAATTTAAATCGCAATTGATACGAACAGTTGAAACATTAACTCAAAAACAGAATGTCGATTCATATACCAAGACCTATACCGAATATTGGTGAGTTCGCTGTTGGTCATTGAAGAATTTTTTTTATCATCATATTAAAATTGGAAAGGGGGGGGGATTATTATATTTTATTATTTTGAAAAACATTGGTCATCATTTTTTAAGGGATTAAAAGTTTTTTAATTCAAATTCCTCGAATGTTTAAATAATTAAATACTATTTTAATTAGTAAGTTACAAAGTTGTTGCACATATGCCAGGCCTGGTTGTACTGATTCTTTGCAAGAAAAATAAAATGTACCGCGTCAGATATGAAATTCCATTTCATCCCGGATAAATGCTTTCTTTGTTCCTTTGTTCTCATCAATAATCTAATGTTTATATTATAATCAATTTCCATTTAAAATTTCAATTTTAATAAAACTTATTTGCAAGAAAAATTAATCAAAAGCAAAATATAGTATAATGAAATAAATATAAGCCAAAAATATGAACAAAATTGGAATATTGTGCCGCATGGTTAACGCCTGGTCCGTTTCAGTCTTCAGTTTATCAGTCAAACAACATTTTCCAGTAAAACAGCACATTTTCACGCACACTTCTCTCAAACTTTATTCAAATTCAAATAATTTATATACCTATCAATTCTTGAACGCAGCTTGCCAGAACCTGTTGACGAACGATGTAAAGTATCATGGACACCTGCGGAGGAGGAGGATGATCAACAAATACCTGGAACAGTTGGGCGGTCAATTTTTAAAATGTGGTTACACTTATATTGCTTATTGTTCAATTTATTAAAAAAAGAATTATTGTCCAAATATATTCTGCATGTGCATAACAATTTTGTTTTGCTTCTAAATTCGCAGAAAGTTCACTGCGCACGTTCTTGCTCGGTTGTCAGGTTTTGTCGGTCGGTGGTAGAGATATGCATAAATGGTAGAAGGAGACTATATTTTACACAGTATTGTATGAAATCTACCAAATTGTTGGAATTAACCAATGTAAAGCTCGTCTTTTCAATTTCTCTTACAAACCTTAAATGAGTTAATGCCGGGTAGAAATTTTAGAATACAATATTATATATATATATATATATATATATATATATATATATATATATATATATATATATATTTCCAGTATTTATTAGCCAAAAGGACAGGAGATCAAAAATACCAATGTATGTGCAGACCACCTTGACTATAACTGTGCAACATGTAACAATGAGCTAATCAAAATTGGAACAGAATTAAAATTTCAATATATATATATTGAGTTATTCAATATATATATATATATATATATATATATATATATATATATATATATATATATATATGTAACATATTGATATAATTATTACATTGTACGCCGGCTATGCCCAGGGTCTAGAAATTACGTCGTCATCTACAACTGCAGTGTATATTGCTACAATAATGAATTTGACGAGAAGGCGAACAAATCCTGCTCTCTGTATGGCTTCAGCGGGTAATAAAAATTTCTTATATTTATCGATTTTATTTTTTCCCCTATTTTAAATTGTCAAAGTACTTATGCATTACCATCAAAAAGTATCAACAAAGTAGAGTTGAGGCACTGTATATATATAAATATTTGAGCATCTGAGTACATACACAACATAATAATTTGAACACCGAAAATGGTAAAAGAATACCTATAAAAGCTTTTTTGTTCTAACATTCATAAAATAAACAAAAATGTTGTTTTTCAGTTCAAGAAACTTGAAAATAATTTACGATCAACCATTCGAAAAGTTAAACAGGAAGTTAACTAACACCGAACATGCTGTGATTTTCATCAATTATATATATATATATATATATATTATATATTGTATATATATATTATATATATATATATATATATATAACATGGAGAACATGGAAATTTAAAATTAGCCAAGAGGGCAATTAGCAACGATGGAAACTGGTTGGTGAGCGGTGTCAAGTTAAGTTAAAATCTCTAACTCTGTAAGCAATATATAAAAGAATTGGCAAAACTGTATTTCTATTAATTATTGATTTAAATCATGAACTTGTTTTTCCTTTTGCGTATCAGTATCGATGTTATAGAATAACAATATATGTGTTTTAGCTAAAGTAGTCTGCACAAGATTCTTATTTTAATTACCTGATTTTTCTATATAAACTTGAAATATTAAAAAATATACAAACCTATATTTGTATTATTTATTTATATACTAAGTGTGTGTTTTTACGGACATTTAGATCCGAAATTTGTATGTAAAAATTGTTAAAAACCTTTTAATTAATGTCGAGCGTGAATAGACCATTTTAACTAAAAATAACGAAGAAAACTAATGTACAACAAACTTCATTAAAAACGCATGGGCAGCGTGGAGGAGGTGACAGTGGTGGATGGCCTCAACGGCCCTCTCTGGACGTTCAAGGTCATCAACGGCTTGCACGGGGAGCCAGAAAATCTTTATTTCTCCGCCGCCACTTCAGAAGACAAAACTGTTAGAAACCTTACTATACCTTACTGTACACTTTACTATGCCTTACTATACTTTACTGCTCTAACGTTGCAAAAAATAAAATTTGTTATTTTTCACATATAACTTAGATTCGTATAAATTAGATTCGTGTTTCTGATGAGAACTTTTCAACGTATCTGAATTTAACTTTTTATGGATGGGAATCATTATGGAGATATACAAAATTTGTTGTTATTTTTATTAGTCGAATTTTAGTTTTATCTCAAAGTATGGTATAAATGTTTTTCTAAAACAACCGAGCCTGAAACGTTTTATAACATTTATAATTTTACTTTTTTTAATTTAAACACAATAAACAATAAAATGTTTGCTTGTTAATATCAGAAGTGGATCAAAGCTTTTGAAGAAGAAATCCTAATTGCCAACAAGTAACTCGTGCAGTTTTTTAGTAGTTTTCATTTAACAACCAAATTTACTACAAACGACAATCACCAAACTCAGAGCATCGGCGGCGTCAGTGACGTCAGTGGCTCCGGAGGGGATTTTAAGTGGCAGACCGCTGCTAAAACTGAAAGAATGCATCGATATTGACATCTACAATTCAGGTTCAGTCGTTCAACGTTTGAGACATGATACATATCTGATATTCTTTCAATGTGTGTGTTTAATGAATATTTTAAGCGGCGAAAAACATTTGAATGAAAAAATTGACGCGACATAAAATGATCTTTCATTAGTTGATGGAATTGACATTCATCGATGCGTATCAAAACTATTATTTGGGGTTTTGCTGACAACAACTTAACTACACCGCAAGCAGTGTAGTTAAGTTGTTGATTAATTCATTTGATTTTTTGATTAATTCATTTAAAGTTAATTAACAAGTTGCATGAAAAAACTTCACAGACAGCGAATCAAGTAACTATGAAGAAATTGAGGAAAAAGTCGAGAGTAAAGGTGATAAATATTTTTGTTACTTTTTTGGTCTCGAGGTAGTTCAAAATTGGCTACAGAAATTTCATGATTTAAAATGTATAATGTGTTGTTTATTTCATCATTTAAATTTTAATCACAAGATATTAATAATTATAATTATAATAATGATAATATAACAAAGTTCAAAGTGGTTCAGTAGACAAGCATCTGTGTAAGAACCACTACAAAATAAATGTTCTAGTATCCTAACTTGATTTTAAAATTGTTGATTGAATCCAATGAGACAATTTCATCGCTCAGCTCGTTCCAGGGGTTTAGCACTTTGCTGCTGAAAAATTTTGCTTTATTGGATTTTCTGTTTTCTTGAAGAGCTTGTATCTATGACCTCTTAATCTATTTCTTTTTTTCTAGTTGAAAAAACCTGGTGAATGGTGTTTCTTCTTTTCCAGTTGTTAACTTATAAATCTGAATCAAATCTCCTCTGAATCTTCTCCTTTCTAGTGTTGTTAATCCGCATTCTTTCAGTCTATCCCTATATTTAAGTATTCCAATTCCTTCAATCATTTTTGTTGCTCTACGCTGTACCCGATCAAGAATGTTTTTGTCCTTTTGTGGACCTGAATTCCAAACTTGTGAATAGTAATCGAGATGAAGGCGAACTAATGTTTTATACAAGTTTATAATAATCGACTTCTCTCTGCTCACTACCGTTCTTCTAATAATACATCCAAGTATTTGATTTGATTTGCCTGCTGCCAAAGTACATTGTCTTGATGTTTTCGTGCTTTTATGAATAGTGATTTCGTGGTTCTTTTCTTCTTCTGTAGTTTCACTTGATATTGAAAGCCTTTCTTCTTTTTTCCTTCGTGCATAGCTTTACTGCCTATGTTAAATAGCATTTGCTAATCATCAGACCATTTATACAGTCTTGTCAAATCTTGTTTTAGTCTTCCGCCTTCCTCGTTGTTAACTCTCGCACACAGCTTCGTGTCGTCCGTAAATATGATATCTTTGACATTATGCCAGAGTCGATATCATTAATGTAGATAACAAATAGCAGAGGGCCCAGCACCGAACCTTGAGGAATTCCACTTGTGACGCTAATTCAATTTGAATTCTGTTGTTCAGCCAGTTAGTAATCCATTGAAGAAAATTTCCAAATATCCCACATGCCTGTAATTTTTTGACTAGTCGTTTATGTGGCACTTTATCAAATGCTTTATGGAAGTCCAAATAAATTATGTCTACGGAGTTCTCACTGCCCACATTATCGTATACTTCCTCGAAGAAATCCAAAAGATTGGACAAAGAAGAACGTCTCCTCATGAATCCGTGCTGGCTGTTTCCTATTATTTTGTAGTTTGCCAAATAATTAACTAAATTGTTTTTCAATATTTTTTTAATACTTTGCCTAATATACATTTTAAGCTGACTGGTCTATAGTTGCTGGTGTCGCACCTGCTCCCTTTCTTGAATATTGGTGTGACAATGGCATTTCTCCAGTCTCTTATTATGGTTTTTATGTTAATAAAACAGACAAAACTGTTGACGGATTGTATGAAAATTTTTATTTTACACAATAAAACATTACGTACCAGACACGAAAACACCCAAAGACTCAAAAGGTCCACCAAAACTTACAACCGCCCTACCTGCCTCATCATCGACAAATCCTGCAAGCGAGCAGAAGAAAGCACCGGAACTTAAACCGAAACCAAAACCAAAAGTTCTTCCAAAGCAAAGTGGCTTCTTTTTTTGTATTTTTATAAAAACTTGTTGGCAGAATATAAAATAAATATAATTAATATCCTCGACCACGATCTTTATTTTTACTTTTCTCTTTTTTTATCGTATCTCAGTTATACTTGTAATTATGCCATTTGTTTTACATATTCCACAAAATAGTGATAAACATTTTGTTCAGATCCTCCCCAAACGGTTAAAGTGAAGCCATTCAATGACGTTAGTAGTGTATTTTTACATGTACCTCCTGAACCAACATAGTACATTTACATGCTACAATTTTTTCAGTGGGAGTTTTGACAAATTAAATGAAGTGTAAAAAATATTTGCTGTGGACGGGGTGTAGTTTGAGTGTTACTCGTAGTCACTTGCGACATTATTTAAGAGAAGTTTTCTTAATTTGTAGGAGTCACGTCCCAGCAATTGTAGGCACACCGCGTTATAAACACAACCTGAATGTTGATGTCCATTTTGATTTTATGCACTGAAATTTATTTTAAAATGGCGCAAAACATGATTTCAAAAAATGCACTACTTAAAACAATGCATAACTTAAGAACAATGTTTAATTTTACAACAGTACATGATTTCAAAACACTGCACGACAATAAAATTTATTGAATGGAGCCAATTGTATTTTTTAATATTTCCACAGTCTCGAATTAAAATAGGATCAAACGTGGCACTACAGTGTTCATAGAATGCAAATATATTTAATAACTTGTCAATTTATTAGTTCTTGTTGAATGAAATGAATTTTTAGACGAATGCACAGAAGAGCAGCAAAGTTGTGGACGAGTACGACTTGTATGATGTGAGTCTCTCATGTTCAAATAAAACGTAGCAGCTCAAAACTAATGCAGTAATAGAATTAATGTGGCAAGTACATGCTTTTTGAATGTGCTGCTTTTGAAATTTTGAATGCAGATAGAAGGACTGTGGGAGGATGAGCGGAGTGAAGAAGCAGAGAGGTGTGGTCACGTCCTGTCCATCATACCACCAAGCATCTTTTCAATTATTTTCGATTAGTTGCTAAACAATTTATGATTAAATTTTTTGTAAGTGAATATCTTCATTTTAATGTTGTTATTGTTTTAATGACACTGCTTTGCAACTGACAATTATGATGACGAGAAAGCAAGTTGTGATGGCACTGATGACGAAGCACATTATCACTGCAACGATTACGTGCATCATTCAAAATTTATTCTAGTTTAAAAAAAACGTTTAGGAAGTTATCTAAAGCGGAGAAGGGAACCTTTATCGTGAGATCGAGCAGGACTGCTGACAGTTCATCAAAGGTTTTCTACATCCAATTGCTTGCACTCATATAGCTTGGAAGATATTATAAGTTTATATTCTAAGCGAACACTTGGCTGTTTGTTAAACAATAAAATTTAAAAAACACAATTATTTCAGTTGCTATAAACGTTTCCAGTTATTTATAATTATTCAGTTTTTATAAAATTTGCGTCACTTAAAATTGTTTCTCTGAATTAATTTCTGTATATGAATTTCAGACTCTGGTAGTAAAACAAAATGACTTCTTCAAGAAGTACAGAATTTTTGAAAATGTGAGTTGGATTTCAATTTTAATTTCACTCAATCAACTTAATAGAAACAAACTTCTGCGTCTTTTTTTAATTCAACTGCTCCAATTAGAATTAATACAAAATGTCATAAATTTTTCATTAGCAACAATGAAAATTACAAAGGAATCAAATGACCAGACACTCGTTCATTCATTCATTCATTCATTCATTCATTCATTCATTCATTCATTCATTCATTCATTCATTCATTCATTCATTCATTCATTCATTCATTCATTCATTCATTCATTCATTCATTCATTCATTCATTCATTCATTCATTCATTCATTCATTCATTCATTCATTCATTCATTCATTCATTCATTCATTCATTCATTCATTCATTCATTCATTCATTCATTCATTCATTCATTCATTCATTCATTCATTCATTCATTCATTCATTCATTCATTCATTCATTCATTCATTCATTCATTCATTCATTCATTCATTCATTCATTCATTTATTCATTTATTCATTCATTCATTCATTCATTTTTCAATCTTTCATTCTTTCTTTTTTTCTGTTTTACGGTGGTAGCAGTAAAAATAATAAAGATGACATTATTAGAAATAATGAATAGTAATTGTGACAGCTGATGGTCTATTGAGACCAGCCATGCAGTGCCACAGTAGAAACAATGAAAAATAATTTAATGTTGCAGGAAACCTCCTGTAGTCTGACGGCAAATGCAACCGAGGAACACAAACAGCCGAACATTCCAGCCCTCCTTAGTTTCTACAAGAACAACAATCTCCCCAATGCTGATTTCAAGCTGACGAAGGCATTGAGTAATAACTAACATACGTGACGTAACGTCGTACAGTTTCATTTTGTCATTTAATTGTTCTTTTATTTTAATTTGTATTTATTTCTCTAAAAAATTTGTAAGTTAATCTAATATTCAACATTAATAATTTATCTAACATAATGTATATGCATTTATAAAATTTATGATTGACCTGATGATAAAATTATCGCAGACTATTTCGTTTGTGTTAACGAATGTGCAATAAATTTTGTTTTCCTCGGTTATTAAATTGAGTTTAAAGTTTGAATGTTGACTAAACTGAAGAACAAGTTACTGAATTATTGAATTCTATTTAATATTTTCATAAAAATTGTATAGTTTTAGACTTTAATTTGGTTTTTTCTAAAATTTTGTTTGCAAGAATTAATAATTCAATAATTATGGTAATGAAGAACGCAAGTTCTGTTCTATGGTAATGGAAAGCGTATTTTATACAACACAGTTGGCCTTCTTGAAATAAACAAAAGCACTCCAGCTAGAACTGTTAAAACACCATTATTATTTTAATTTAAAATCCAGAGACCAAAAGTTGAAAATCATTTGAATTCAAATTATTTGAATATTGGCCATTTATATGGGAACAGTGTTGGGAATCAATTGGTCGCCGTCAAACAAATATACTTGAACTTAAAAGCAGACATTATTCATCGGTAAAAGCAGACAATATTCATCTGAAAATATTGCTCTGCTTCGTCTGATACCTGATGGTTACATCTGTTGTGATGAACCTCGTCATCATGAAGTAGCAGTTTCATTCAACTTCGTCCAGAAACATTTGGACAAATGGATGCATCGTTGTCTCTTTCTTCCTCGTTCAACATCAAAAGGTTGTGATTTACAGACCTGGAACATCGACAATCACCTCAAATTTTTTCAACGAGTTTAAATCACTTCTCGGGTACCTCACCAACTTCAACGATCGCGTTATGCTACTCGGCGATCTAAACATTCATCTGGAGGATCCTTCAAGTGTTCACTCCTTATCATTCCTCAACTTATTGTCTTTGTTTGGTTACGAACAACATGTTAAGAACGCAACACACAACAAGGTTACTGGATGTCATAGTTGCTAAAATAAACTGTGGTGTTCATGATGTTCGTGTTCGTCCTCTATTCATTTCAGATCAGGATCTGATTTCTGGCTCTCTCTCTGAAAGTTCGTTTTAACCAGTAACTCAATCTTTTTTAAGAGTACTTAATTATCGCATGATTGATGAAGTAAAGAACGACCTTGCTGCTGTTGATTTATGCAATCCAGACGTTTAGTTGAAACGTGACGCTGCATCTACGATTTTGCACCCCTTCGTCGACTTCTCGATCAACACACTTTTCAAAGACTGGTAATCTCAAAAAATAATCTCTGGTTCGATGCGGATTGTTTTGCGAAAAGACGATATGCGAATAAGCTTGAGACAGATAAAAGCCCACTCAAATATCGGCGTTTGAAGTTGGAAAACAAAAAGCAACATATGTTGTTCATGGGAAAAAACGTAGGTACTTAAAATTGTTGATTGAATCAAATAAAAATAATCCCAAAAAGCTGTGAAGTGTTGCCTCGACACCTATTAGAAATAATAAATCTCGTGTTTCGACTGCTCGTTCAATATCAGCCCATGGCTTTCAAAGATTTTTAAAGGAAAAACAACATAACATTTGATGATGAATTGCTTCCAGAGTTTCCGCCTAAGAATGATCTTAATTCAGTTCTTACTTACAAAATCGTGTTTCTTGTATCCTATCCCAACGTTCATTGTTAAAAAGTTCTTGGATAGACTGTTACCCTTTCCAAAGTCATGATCACTAACATCGTTATCACTTTCTTTTCTTATTAGCATCAAAATAATTATTGCAACTACTCCTAATAATATGATAATTCGATTATAAAAAATTCATGTAAGTCAACAGTCAGCAAGCGATTTTTGGAGACGCCATGCGACGCTGAAGAGATCACTTCTGCTGATCATATACCACATACGTATGATTCCGTGATTCCGCTACAGAAGAATTATTTGGTTTTGTTGTCAATAGTATACAATCACGCAACTTGCTTTGATGCCCACGAGTTGACAAATACAGTTGACGGGATGAAGTCATCAGTCATATCAGTTTGAACGAGATTGTTGAGTATTTTGTATAGGAGGCATACATCTTACGACGTTTTAGAGTTTGCACTCCAACTTCCTGTAGTTGAGGAAAGTAGGGAAGATGATGTAAGATGGGAATTGACTTGGTAAATCTTCTTTGGACGTTTTCAATTTTATTTCTTGATACCAGTAAAGTGGGCCTCATACAGATGAACAATATTCTAACTGAGGACGTTTGTATGCACCAAACGCTTTGATGAGCAGGTTTTCATCTTTGGATGTAAAGAATCTGGTCATTAAACGTCCAAGTAAAGAGGATTTGTGGAGTTTTATCGTTGATGTGCATATTAAAGTCGAGTTGTTTGTCAGCCTTAACACCTAGATCTTTGAAGAAGCAAGCAGGTGCTAAAATGTGTTGACCAGTTAAAGACTAATAAGGAAAAACAACAGATTTCGATGAAGGAACAAATGAACAAAACATTTGTCAGAAGAAAAGGGTAACTGCCATTTGGTACTCCAGGCGATTACGTCGTTGATGACCTGCTGAAGTTGAAGTGAGTTAGATAAGCGGCAATATATCTCGATGTCATCAGCGAAAAGCAAAATTGGAACGGATTTAGATAAAGTACACCCTGCAATGTCGTCTCTAAATATTAAGAATAAGGTGCGTCCCATGTCGCTAGTCGCTACCCGGGTGAACACCACTAGTAATTGGCACAAAAGTCAACAACTTATTTTGAACTCGAACAGGCTGAGAGCATTCAAATAGGAAGTCGGTTAACCAGGAATACAAATTTCCAAAAATTTCGTGTGACTTATTTACCAATCAGCTTGGTGTGTGATACGGAGTTGAAGGCTTTTTGAAAATCGAGGTAAACAGTGTCGCAATAATCCTTTTATTGACGAATTGACATCCATTCATTTTTTAAATTGTTTAAGGTTAGTGTTGATAGATCTACCAAGCAAAATAAGCATGTTGAAAGGGTGAATTTGTTGTCAGACAGATAGACTAAAATTTTTTTTGATGATTTTTTCCATTACACAACAAAATGAGCGGGTAAGGAAAACTGGTCTGTAGTTGTTGGAGTAGTATTTTGGATCTTTCTTATGGATGGGAGTGATGATTGCAGTTTTCCATCTAGTTGGCAGGAGATTATTTTTAAAAGATGTATCAAAAATATGAAAAAATGGAACTGCCAAACTTGATGCACACATCTTCAGGAAGATGTTTGGAATGCCATCTGGTCACATCGATGGCGGGTTTTTAAGACAAAACGGTTACCCAGTTTTTTAAGAGGTTGCATTTACTTTTATTATTCTTATTCACTTCTAAAGTATTTTTCAGGCGTAGATAATATATAACATGTACGGAATATAAAGTAAAACAGTTCATTATCAAGTCAGACAGTTCCAATCACAGCAAGCAATAAACAATTACTAAAACTGAATAACTTTAAACATGACAGGTTCAAAAAACATCTTCAAAAGCGTCTGGGAGTACATTTGAGATCTGATGTTTCAAAACTGCTGTTAGTCCCAACAACGAGTCTCAGTTATTGCTGTCTTTAGACCAACTGTTAATAACAACCTGCCTGCTTCTCTCAGAAATTCGGACCTTAACCTGCGTGGTTTTAAATAGAAACTGAAAACTTATTTATTTACATCATAAAGCATTAATGATGAATTCTTTTTGCTATATGACATTTTGTAAATATCATTTCTTTTTTCGCTATATCGCATCGTTTACTTTTTCCGTTCGTTACAAAAATTTTAATTTCATTTCTGTACAGCACAGGATTCTTTTATTTGTTATTTCAATTATGTTTTGTTAAGTTCTGTTTTTTTAGCGCTTTTGAGATTTTTTTTTGATTAGCGCTTCATAATGATTTCAATAATAATAATAATAATAATAATTATTATTATTATTATTATTATTATTATGAAAGTTAAACATTCCACACGACATGCGTGAAACAAACTAGCAAGCACGCCACACAACCATTCCAGCATGATTACGACCCACATCTCCACATCAACAAAGAACCGGGATGACAACCCCCAGTCACTATGCCGTTAGTCAAACCCGCCGAAAAGTCGAAGAAAACGTTCTTTTATCAATAATATAAATTTAAACTGAAAACTAGTTAAAACAATTTCAAAAAGCACTAACTACCTAACTAATCAACTAATTAACTAAAAAACTACGGCAGTTGAAACCAACATGCCCACAGCGTACATACACCGCTGATGCGTGCTTCTGTTTGCAATGTGCATTTAAGCATGTTCATGCGGTTGAATCAGTCAGTCGTGTTTACACTGTTGAATAAGTCGTGATCAGTATCAACAAATTTGCCTACGGAATGTGTTGTTGTCAACACTGATCAATATTTGCGAAGCAGGAAGTTTAAAATGTCAGTCAGGAAGGAGCACTCGCGAACTGGTAGCAGCAAACTCCTATTTTTCATATTCTTTACTGAGTCACGATCACCACCTAATTGTTCAACTGAACCGTAATAACCAATAACGACAAAAATTTATAATTAAAATTGTAAGTTTTTTTTTGAATTATTAAAAAATTAAAAATAATTAAAATAATGTAATCAGTAAAAAGACCATTTAAAAAAATCAAGGTTGCATTTAAATTACGTCGTCTTTAACATAATTATTTGCTATACATTTGTCTGTTCTGTTTCAATACGGAATGCCTGACGAGGGTTTACTTGTTTGAAATGGTGGGTACCCTACATACATATAACTAAGATTTTATGTTTCAAGCATAAATAATAATAAATGAAAAGTCATAAATCAATAATTTTGCAATTTTTCAATGAGCGTCCGCTTGTTTCTTAATATTTTCAATCCATTCTGTAGACATGATTGTATTTCTCTTAGCGAATATTTTATTTTCAATTTGTTATAATGCTTAACTCCTTCCTGTGTGTTTAACCAATAAATATGGTTGCATCCTATGCAGTCTTCCGATTCATTATAACGATATGCACCGTTGTTGTAAGTATTAGCTGGTAAATTTCTAGGTAAATGTCTAGGTTTTTACGAAGCATACATGCTATCGAATTAACATAACCGCGTTTGATGATGAAGGAACAGCTGAACAATGGTTTGTACACACAACGTGCATGTTCGCTAGCCAATCACAGTTCGAAAATCACAATATAGTTATTTCATCAGACAATTAATTAGTTGGTTAGAAGTAATTTTTTCATTTTCATGTTAATATTGTCGATCGAAAACATCAAACTAATTTCTTTCAAAATTTCTTTTATTCGCTTAATTTTCAGATGAGAGAATTGCTATGGCTTCGAATGATATTAACTACCCTGTTCCATTGAAGAACACATGTACGGTTGATTTATTAATTATTCTAAACGTGGCTTGCACACATTTGAACTTTTTAAAATTGAATTATTTTGAAGTATATTACATCATGTGTAAGTTGTTTCACATGTAGATCACATCATGTCTCATAAGTCCAGGGGCGGTCGAGTCAACTTTGCCGGGGGGCCAGCCACATGTTTTAAAATTTAGAAATGTATTTAACGCGGCATTTATTGCATGTTTTCTACTTAAAACAATGTCTGCGTGTATAAAAACTGAGTTTTACTGAGTTTTTATAGAAATACAGCTCACAACGGGATGGCCCCTCGACCCTTTAAATTCGCCACTGTGAAAGCCATTCATTGTTCCATGTTTCACATTTTATTAATTTAGATCGCTAAAAAAAAATTTTAAAATGTTTCTACGCTCGATCGATAATTAGCGGTCTCCAACAAAGATGGGTTGGATCTTTTCGAATAAACATTTCAAAGTGCACCACATATTACATTTGGCGTCTTCATGTAACTAATTATTATTTAAACCCTTGTATGCAGCTTGTCAAGAACTGCTGATGCAAGATAAAGTATCGTGCAAGGGATATCTGAGGAGGATGAAAACAATGCAGAAGCTCATGGGACATGTTATCAACATTCCCTGTAAATTACATATTCAGTAACGATGACGTCATTTTAACGAAAACCTCCCTTTTAATGATATCGTTAAAAACTAATAAATATTTTCATACATTATCAAGGGCCAACAAATTATGTAATTGCAATGAAAGGCTGTTTGTATTGCTACACGAACGAAACAGATTCGACGCCGTGCAAGACGTGGTCTTTGTATCCATATTCCGAGTACCATTGACTCCTTCTTATATTGCAGTTTCTTTTTTTTAAGTACACAAAATTAAAATAACATCCGACGGCTTGTAAAAATGATTTTAAAAATTAAAATCAGTGTAAAAGAATGTTCGGACGAAATAGGAGCCAGCATTTTGTGGCCCTTCAAAGTGGTTCATGCGTTCGACGACAGCCACGACATCTACTTCTCAGCAGCGGTGGAATCAGATTTAAAGGTCGAGGCCATCAGCTACCTTATCATAACCTTAGCTCAACCATCCAACCCAACACCAACCATCCAACCCAACACCAACAATCCAACCCAACACCAACCATCCAACTCAACACCAACCATCCAACTCAACATCAACCATCCAACTCAACACCAACCATCCAACCCAACACCAACCATCCAACCCAACACCAACAATCCAACCCAACACCAACCATCCAACCCAACACCAACAATCCAACCCAACACCAACCATCCAACTCAACACCAACCATCCAACTCAACACCAACCATCCAACCCAACACCAACCATCCAACCCATCACCAACAATCCAACCCAACACCAACCATCCAACTCAACACCAACCATCCAACTCAACACCAACCATCCAACTCAACACCAACCATCCAACCCAACACCAACCATCCAACCCAACACCAGCAATCCAACCCAACACCAACCATCCAACTCAACACCAACCATCCAACCCAACACCAACCATCCAACTCAACACCAACCCTCTAACCCAACACCAACCATCCAACCCAACACCAACAATCCAACCCAACACCAACCATCCAACTCAACACCAACCATCCAACCCAACACCAACCATCCAACCCAACACCAACAATCCAACCCAACACCAACCATCCAACCCAACACCAACAATCCAACCCAACACCAACCATCCAACCCAACACCATCCATCCAACTCAACATCAACCATCCAACTCAACATCAACCACCAATTCAACATCAACGATCACTTGGAACTTAAATTGTGAGAAATATTTCGTTGTTTTATTAACAGAAGTGGACAGAAGTCATAAAGAAGGAGATCAACTATGCTAACCACAAAAAGCTCAGCAAGTTAGCGTGCTTGCTACGTTAACGCTTTCTTATATATAACAAAATTTTTAACGCATGCATATGTAGACGAAAATGTTGAATTATTTGCATGATAACAATATATGTTGATAAACTAAAGAATATTGAGTAGATGAGTTATCATCAATTAGTTAGGTAATATAAAATGATGATATGATGGAATAAACTGCAATGAGTATGATTTTAAGAAATAGAAAACGAAAATAAAAAAGTGCAGTTTGGAATCGGATCTATCGGAGATTCGTGTATGGAAATAAAACATTCCTAAGTAAACAAATTCCAAAATGGTGAAATTTGTTTGGTCTTTCAAACTTGCATGGAACGAAAATCTGAAAAAAACAATATAACTTTTTAAAAGTATTGAAAATAGAAATAAATAAGATTAAGTGTAATAAGGAGCATTAAAAATGATGATTAAATTTATTATTACTTTTAATTCTGATTAGCAAACATCGAAATTTTAGCGGCGACACACGCAAACAAGCAAGTGGCGAAACTTCACCGACCAACAAAACGGCGCCAACTTGCACTATCAAGAAACAAGATGGCCACAGACAAGGTAGGCATTGATGACAATAATTTATTTGAAAGATAAATAGTACAACATCAATGACATTTTTGTTATCATGCATAAATTAATGAATGAATTAAATTATTCAATCAATGACTGTAACATGTGTAGCTTTGTCCTTTTAATGATCAATCCCGTATTTTTCCGACGTGTTGAATGACGCTTCCTATACCCATGTGTATGATAGGTGGTGAACCGGTCATTCAGACCACAAGGTCATCAAATCGCTCGACTCCTTATGCTGAACTGACAACTGCAACCCAACTAGAAACATTTTTTAATTTTTACTCAAACTGAAAATTCTGTAAAGTCAGAAATACAAACGACATTGGTTGGTTAATTTATGACTCATTAAATAGCATAACATAACAGGGTATATAATGGTTCAGTAGATTAGAGTCTGTGTGAGAACCACTGCGCGATAAGTGTCCTAATATCCTAACTTTCCGAGCCTGATCTTGAAACTGTTGATTGATTCTGCGGAGACCGTCTCATCACTCAAATCATTTCAGGTGTTTGCCACTCTACTGCTGAAGAATCTTTGCTCGACGGCATTTTCTTTTTTTGGAGAGCTTGTATTTGTGGCTTCGTAATCCTATTCTTTTCTCTAGTTGAAAAAATCTGGTAAACGGTGTTTCTTCTTTCTTGATAATCAATTTGTATGCCTGTATCAAATCTCTGCATCTTCTTGTTTCCAGTGTTGTCAATCCACATTCTATCAATCTATTTTTGTATTCAAGATTTTTAAGTCCTCTGATCATCTTTGTTGCTCTCCGCTGCATTTTCTCCAAAATGTTCTTTTCCTTTTGCAGATCTGGAGAACAGAATTCAAGATGGGGTCGAACTAAGGTTGAAAGAATGATTATAAAATAATATTGAAATATAAAAAATAATTTATTAAGAAATTTGGTAAATGAGAAATTTTCATGTTTTATGGTTTAAAAAATATTTATTATGATATAATTTTAGAAACAAAAGAGAAAGTTCAGCCGCCATCCGGCAAGCCCCATTCATTGTCGAAATCATTGACACCAAAAAGCCAAGAGTGCCCATTTAGAGCTGATACGAGCGCATCTAAAAAAACATTTACAACATTCATACCGAAAAATATAGGTGACAACATTTTCTTATAAAAAAAATGTTTATTGGTGCTGGATATCTGAGTATGGAAATTCATTTATGTTGATCAGTCAATCAATCGGTCGATCAATTGGCCAATCAATCGGCCAATCAATCAACAATCAATCAATCGACCAATCACTCATTCATTCATTAAAATTGTTCTACACCACTTACAAAGTGTTTAATCATCCTTTGATGAGATTTCAATGCGGTTAACTAAACATCATTTAATTAACCAGCAAGCAAAACATTGTTTAAGTTTTACCAACTGAAAACATTTATGTTGGGTAAATTTTTTATTCAGTCATTAAACTGTCAATTGAACTGTCATTTCAGATCAACTATCAGACAAAAAGGTCACCAATGAGGTGAGCAGTATTAAATTTTTTTATATATAAAATAATCGATAATCATTAAAAACATTTCTAGAGACAACTGCTGTACGAACCAGTTTCTTTTCTCACGGTGAGATTTTTCGCTTAATGATTTTTTAAATTGTCTCTCATTTGTGTGGAGCATAAATTAAGCGCAGGGCCGGATTTTAGAAAAAGCAGAGCTACTGCCTCTGGATCTCGAACAAAAAAAGGATCCCAACTTTAGAGATGAAAAAATTATCTATGTCGAGTTTGGAACTTTTATGTTTTTTTTGCAATTTTACTTACAATATATGCACTTATTATAATGCATATGGTTCCATTTTTCAAGGCGGTAATATAGTTCTGCATTTGACAGAAACAAATTATTTTTCGTTGAAATAATTCTATGTGTTGACTGGCAATGAGTTTGTCAGTCAACACATAGCCTTTTTTTAAATAAATAATAAAATAAAAATTTGCCTTTTATATTCTAAAAATATTGCTCAAAGCTATGTTTGCGGTAAATACCGCAGTGTATATTTTTTTTCTTTGTCGGTAATAAATACTGCTGCGTATATTCGTGAAAATGTACTAGGTCCGCAGTAAATAAATACCGCGACCTATTTTTTTACTAAGTCGATGGTAATTACCACTGTGTGTGGTATAAATCGCTTGGTCCGCGTTGAACGTCGTGGTTCCTCTGTGCACAGTCATAGTTTAAGTCTGAGAAGAAAGGGAAAGTTTAATTTTTTTTACAGCATTTACAAATTTGAAAATATATTTTTTTATAAAGTTTTTTCAGGTTTTATTCATTTGTATAAGATTACAAATAAATTCGATGTACATGCGTCGAGAACTGCAAGTGGATGAGGTATGTCTACTAAAAGACATAAATATGGTTCGTTACAAGTTCATTTAATTGTTTGTGAGGTTTGTTCAACGGACCAACATTTTGTCGTCGATGTAAATGATAAATTTTGAGTGTTCGATATACATCGGCGATATATCATTCATAAAAATATCCATGTTACCATAGATATATGATAAACGATATGCCAATGTTTTGCAATTTTTGATATATCGTTTACATACTATTCCAAAGATGTGATCAATTTACCATATACTAACATTTATTGCATCTTGAGCAATTTTTTAACATTTTAACGAATTTGTCCAAAAAAAATTAGCGGCCTCAGTTGAACTCAGTTTTTGCCCTAAGAACCCGCGTTTTTATAGCATTTTATGTTTATTTATTTTAGTTCATTCATGTAAATTGGTAATTGATCAACATTATGAAAAGGATGCACAAAAAGTGCAGATTTTAACTAACGAGTGTACCCTCCTATGTGTGTGACAAATCTGAGAATATATAGAAAATTGACGACCAAGAAAGAACGTGTAAGCAAAAAAGCACAATTTTCGCCACACTACCATGAGTTTTGGAAATTTTGGAAGTTTCTTGGCCTCCTTCAAAATTTAAACATTTGCAAACTTTTGGCCCCGTCAAAGTCATCTAGATCCGCCACCTCTCCAAGGCTATTATACTTTTACATTCGGTCCTGGATATTTTAAGTTGTCAGATAATATAAAATTTGGCTGAGCTGCATGAAATCTGTAGCTTGTAAATTGAAAATAGGATGATCCAGATGATGTAAGCAAGAGAACAAACGTCCTGGCTTCATCATTTTGGACCGGTGATGCAGATGAAGGAAAAACGTAAGTAAAAAAATTATTACAAATTAAATATTTTAAACAAAGCTTTTTACAAACATACACAGGATCCTAAGCACTAAGCCTATTGGAGCATTCATGATAAGGAAATCGAACACATCCGACACAACTTGTAGAAAAGTTTGTCATATTTAACTTTTATTCAAATCAGGTTAGTCACATGACTAAGAAAGAAAAAGTGCATTAACTTCTCAAAAAGCATATAATGCTATATTATAAAAACTGTAGTTTGCAGAAAATTAATAATTTAACGGAGCAGCTACCCAGTAAAAAGTCGCTACCCCTTTTTATAAAATTTTTTTCTACTTTCATACTTCGGAACGAACAGAAAACGAAATATATGAATAACCTTAAGTTTTAAATTATTATAAAAAACTTAAGAATTAAATTCCGATTATTGTTAAGAGCAAATTAGGTATGCTAATATTTAAAAACAGTTTCCATTTAGCATTTGTATAGATATAAAACAGTTTGAAAAGAGTTTTCAAGTTTAATTATGATCATATAAATAACAAATTTTTAGTAACAATAAAAATTTTGTATTTTTTAATATAAATTAATACAGATCAATTAATGACGCAAATATATTAATATCTTCTTTTAAAAATTAAAATCGACATCTAAAATTTTCAATTTTACACGCTTAAAGTTTAGCGTAGCTTAGATGGTGTTATACATTGGATATTCTCTCTTCTTGCCATGTACAATGAACGTCACCCTCTGCTAATTATCCCAATATTTCATTGTATATCTCCAAGCAACTTACTCAAATTTTATTTTTAAAATAAGTACAGGTTTTTTGAAAAAAATTATGAAAATTTAGTGAGTCATTACAGACCAATTTATTTACTATAGTCACTTATATTCAAATTTTTCGCAAAGCCATCCCTTGTTCCATGTTAATTTTACAAGTTATAAATTACCAATGCATATCCAATGTAATTTCTGCTTCGGTCACATAAACTAGAGTCACGTGAGTTCATCCATGCCACAGTATTGAACATTAGGGTAGATCACATAAAAAAATTTTTTTTAGATAACGTAAATAGCGATGAAATGTTGCTCTTGCATCTGTAAATGAATCTGGTAAAAAAAAACAATTAATTTAAAATTCGACTATACCTGTCGCCTGGGGTCTGAAAATGTGCGCTATAATCTAGGTCTATAATTGCCGGTACTTTACAAAAAAGTGTCAAACCAATTTATTTTTCAAATACAACCTGTTTTCACAATTGAATTATTTATTCTCTGTCAACTTAAACCATGGTCCACACCCGACCATCTTCTATTTTTCTAAAATTTCAACAGAAAGAGAAAGTTCTTCAACGTATTTCATTGAAAAATATTTTTTTTCATAAAAATATATCAATTATTTTTCAAGTTATGAAGATTTTTTTCAAAATTTGTGCCAATGTAGAACGTTATATCTCTTGAACTAGCCAACATATCTTGATGAAATTTTTTTGTGCATATCAATGAAACAATATTATAAAAAAACAATATTATGAAAAAACAAATAAAAATTATTTTAGTTTAAGAGATATAGCGTTCAACAGTGCCACAAATTTTGAGAAAAAAAATCGCTCAAAAATTTGAGAGTGCTGTCACAAAAACCTTCATAACTTGTAAAATAATTGAAATATTTTTTATAAAAAAAATATTATTTTGTCGATAAAATACATTGAGGAACTTACTCTTACTGTTGAATTTAAAAATAATCGAAGATGGTCGAGCGTGAACTTTTTTTTAAGAATCGTTCAAGTTGACAGAGAAGATATTTTAAAATTACGTTTCTTTTTATAATATTAATCAAATCAAAAAAATGTAAAAAAATCTTAAATGACAGCAATTATTTAATCGATATCGAATATTCTGTTAAATCCAAAATCCATGTCAAATATTTAAAATTGTAAAAATATACACCAAATAACACTTTAAATTTGAAGTACACATTATTTCGATACCCACTCTTTCTTAGGAAAAAAACTCTTGCGTTGCTTTTCTAGAAAGAAGAATGGCCCTAATGTAATCATCTTGTCTCATCTCACCATGTGTCGTTCAAATTCTGAGTACAACAAGAAAGATCATCAAATGTCCACCTTAGGAAGTTTTACTGCTCATACAGTTTCATCGTCCAAGATAATGTTACAGACGTGAAGTCGAGATAAGAACTAATAGTTAGAAATTGCATGAACCGCTTGTAAATTAATTAAAAGGGAAGAAGAAGACGGAACACAGTTGACGTAGAAGTCGTAAATGTGATTTACGTAGTTATTTGGATTAATTTATTGTTTCTATTACTGCTGGTATTAAATAAACGTTCAACTTAATTTGCGTTTGAAAGTAGTTGTGAAGATATAGCGAGTAATGAAGCTATAACATCGGTGTGAGTAGTAACGAGGTCGAAGGGGTTACAACATTGGTGCTAGAAGTGGGATCTTCAGGAGATTACAAGCTGGTGACGGAAGTAAGATTTTGATAGCTGGAAACTCACTGTAGTAAAGAATAACAGGGCTAGAGAACTCGAAGTAATTAATCTGACAAGAGAAGGTCAATTATTGACGATTAGTTTTATCCCGTGATTTTCCTGTTGATTAGTTATTGTTCTGTATCCTAACAATTTCATCGATCGAATAAACGAGTGATTGATCACAGCAATACACACAAGTGATTGCCAGCACTGTTTTCTTTCTGTTAAAGTTCATCTGAAATATGTCTGTCCAGGAGTCAAGAATCAACGTAGAGAGAAATAACCATACCCTACAAGTTCAAGGGGTCGGCTATAACAATATATTTCATCATTGACCGTTGAGTTTTATTAAGTTCCTGAAAATTTACAAGACTGGAATAGTCGTCAGCCTCAAAATTCAATATAGGAATTTTGAATATTATTAATTTTATTTTTAAACTCAAATTAATGCACAGTCTTTTTTATTTTATTTTTCTGGCTACAAGTTTTCAAATGTATGATCGTTCATGAAGCAATATCAAGCAATATGATTATCAGAATATTTTTCTGGATGTCCGAAATAGCATCGATCCGCAACAACTAAATTTTAGTAAGAAAACTTTCCTTCCAAATAGAACTAGAACTGTGACTGCAATTTTATTAAAAACCAAAAAAGAGCATAAACACGGAAGACATAATAAGTCAGTTCAATAAGGTTTGCTGATGGTGAGTCACTTGACACGTATACTAACGTAGGTTTCTATTTGCATTCGTCAACCATCGAAAATGTACCAAGGAACCAGGTTCTATTCTAGCTGAGTATCTCTCTATTTCTCCTGCTTTAATCGTTTTACTTCGTGAATAAAAATATTTTTTATCCTTGCTAATATCATTATCATCAATGTTTTTAAAACTGTTTGGTAAGTTATTTCATCTGGCTCCAAGTTTTACAACGCTTAAATTATGACAGGTTAATAGTGCTTTGCCTATATTTCCGGAGAATGAGGCATTTGGGCCCAACGTTGTTCCATCTGCACCAATTGCTGTTACATTGCATAAAAAAGGTGCCTCATCCAATAACATAACTCTCATTGTTTGTTTTCGTCTTTTTAGTATATTTTTGTATATGACTGCTGTTCTGATTTGTTTGTTAATGACTCCATAATCAACGGGAGCAGCGTACCAATTGCTGCCCCTGCTCTATCAGAGGCACCACATCTATCGCACCCTTTTAATTATTTAAAAAGTATTTAAAAAATAATACTTTTAATTTTAGAAAAAATTCTAATATCATGTATATTAAGCGTAATATTAACATTGCCGAAATTGGTACAAATAACAATTAACATTACCTAATTCTGGCGGCAGGTGAAGATGAATGTGGTTTTCATCAAATTGATTTTTCTCTTACTAATATTAATCAGAAGCAACTTTATATCCCCATTCTTTTGAAAAACAAATTTAATTTAAACAAGCTAATAAACCGGTGTTTCTTTTCTGCTTTCAGATAAGGTGTAAACTCAGCTTTACTTAATTACCTATCAACGTAGAAATAAATAAAAACAATAATGTTTTATATCCACTAATTATGCCACTAAAAAAGAGTTTAACGGCAATATAAAAGTTTTGATGCAAACTTTAACGTGCTCGCGTTAGTTGCACTTTAATTAAATTGTAAATCTTCAAAGACTACAGAAGATTCAATAATTTTAATTTGGTGACAAGCCACGTAGCTTGCGGCAAGTGTTTGAGTCTCAATGAAAATTGTATTGAATAAAGAAAAGAACAAAATAGCGTAAAAATGAATGTTTTTATTTTTATCAAGACGCTACTGGTCAGGGTCAATGCGCCATCTCCTTGCACGAAATATAAAATATTTGAAACGGAGGTAAAAAACATAGCTTCAGCATATACTTTTTGCTTATTTTCATTTTTCAACGTGATTTATATTTTCAGTAACATCATTTGTAACTATAGAACTATAAAATGTTTAAGGCTCATATCTTCATTCAAGTTATGTTGGTAACCCAATCATTTTTAAATTAATTTTTAACTTTGCTTTGAGCTCTTGCGTATGTGTGTGTATTATATATTTTTACTCATCGTGTGATTTTTGTTTTAAAAATAATTCACGAACTCTGTCGACCACACAAAATAAATTTGTTACTACTGACAACTAATACTCGTTTTACTAATATAGTTAAGCTTGTTTAATTACTAACAACATACCTCTCATGAATTATTTGAGAACTATAATTAACTATATTTAATTTTTTATTTTGATGAGCAACCAAAAATTTTTGTCCTATTCGTTTTATGACTGCCACTAATCATTTGAATTTAACTATATTGATTATAATTATATTATCTATGACATCTAGATTCTTGGTGTTCTTAATGTGTAGTCCATCCTATCAATGCATCTCTTTACATCTTTCCATAACGTGCTGGTTCATTCCACAGTTGTATCAATGATTTTTGTTTGTCACTATTTTTATATACATTTAACAATTTTGTTCAAACATTTTTTTCACTATATCCTGACTTCTGCGAACTATCAACATGATGACGTTGGCACCTTTGGCGTTGGTAGATGACGATATTGGTTTACGTTGCTTAACATTTTTATATATTCCTTTATTTTGACGTCACGCTTTGTAGAAATTTTCAACTTTTTGTGGTCTGTTGAAGTCCGTCGCTCAGTTTTTTCAGTTAACTATCGCTAACCATTAAAATTTATTAAACCATTTCATGTCTGTTCTTCGTTTACGCACTGCTCCGAAATTATGGATGCTGCTTAATTTAAATGGAAATGTATGATGCGCAGTTTTTTTTATGTTCTAACCTGGCTTAAAAATTATTACCACAGTCTGGACTAATCTTTATGGACTCGAAAGAAGAAAAGTTTGAAAGTCTGATATCCATGCTGAAATATTACACAGAGAACAATTTACCTGGAAGAGATGAAAAACTTTTTAAACCTTACTCCGAGATAGACTAGAGATCAACAGATCATTTCATGTAATAATTCACGTTAAAATACAAGTCTGTAGCTAGTTAGTGAGAAAAAACAAAGAGACCAGGATAATGAAATTGCAAACAAAAGCGATCAACAACCCTTTGCCCGAATCTCGCCATCACATCAAATTAAATCCCCTAATTGCATTGACGATCGATTTACATTTTGATTCAAATAATATTTTCATTAGAATGTAGGATAGTTAAACACCCTCAAATTCTCAAACAATTTAAAAAAGATGAGTTAAATTTTTATATTCCATTAAATCGTAAATGATGATGTCAATAAAATGAATTATTCCTTTTCGCCAAAAATTACCAAGAGCAAATGAAATCACATTTTCGACTATGGATATAAAAGTTTAATGCTTAAACAAAAAGTTTATAAAATTGTTGTTTCATTTGTAAGTCTTAATTGCTGGTTTTAACCATTAGTGTCTTAAACCGAAATATCCCAAATTACATAACCTCCACGGTTTCCATGGTTTTTAGACATAAACTGATAAAATTATAATTCTATTTCACTGAGAAGTCTTCTTCAAAGTGAATTTTTCACTTTGTGCTCAGCACTAAACACGTTCGTGTTCTACTTACAATTTGATTTGATAAATTGTACAAACCTAATAAAAGCACTGAAACGCAAAACAGGTAAGTTGTTTTTAATTGTATATTTAAGTCGTGTTTAAATAAAATATCAGCCTATTTATGCTTAGAATTACCGTCACCTTCTGATTTGTCAGCAATATTTTTAACTTTTAGAGCGGTTTTTTGTAGTTCATCAATATTTTTCTGCATTTTCGGTAGTTCAGCTCCTTCTTCTTTTCGGAGATTTTCAATTTGTTTCATCAGCTCATCCAGCTTAGCCAGATCTTTCATCGATACCTCTCCCGAACCTCTCTTTGCAGCCTGAAGCTGTTGGAAAATTTTTTACTTTGTAACTAATTTTCATCTTATGACCAATTAAATCCAATCTCTTGAAAAAACAATTTATTTTGAATTAGTTACCTTTAATTGAAGCATATAATACTGTAATTTTATATGGAAAGTTGATAATTAATTTTTGTTCTTGCTTTGCAAACTATAAATTTATTTATACAAAGTGGCGATGAGAGTTTATTACAATTAGCAACAAATTTTAAAAAATCATAAAAAAAACTATTTAAATGATACATGCTTCTCGAGTAAAACATGACACTACTAATTCTTCTAAAAGAAATAACCTGAGATTTATCAGGTTTCCACGCAATAAAATTGATGATCTGGAACTGAGCAGGTATGCACTTAACTTCTGATTCATTTTCAACTTTCGTGAAACCATACTTCTCTGTCAAAGCGTATATCTCATTAGATTGAAATTTTAATCGTACAGCTTACGTAGCGAAATAAAAGTTCAACCTTGATATATAGCTGATGCTGCTAATATGGTGTCAACATTCAAATTAAGACTTCTCGACCATGAACAATTATTTTCTGCCATGCCTGGTTTAAAAGTATAGTTTTTCAACTTTATCTTTGTGGCATTTTAACAAATAAAAAAAGCTAAAAACAACAAAATTAGAACATTAAGTGGACAGACCTTTTAAGTCCCACATGAGATCAACCATTGAGGGGTACGTGACTGTCATGTCATCAACATCCTGCAATTTATCATCACCATCATCATCAGATCTACACCATCTTGTTATATATCCAAATTGTTATACTTCAAAATGTAGTTGAATATTTTATTTTTATTTTGAACACAAATTTAAACCAGAAATACAAAAATCATTCTGCAGCATAAATCTTGAAAGAGCTGAGCACATTCTATCCTCTTATTGCAAATTGTTCTGAAGTTTAAGAGGTGCTAGGCTAGCATAGCACCAGATTAAAACATGAACAACAATATTCTTAGTGTGAGAGCAAATAAAAATTTAATAAAGGTATTTTCCTTACAATGGTAAGCATATTAAATCCAGCTCTTTGCAGCAGACTTCCAAGATCTTGTGCCGAAGTATATGGAGATATGTGAGGAGAAAATCCCTGGTGAATAAATAAATTTATCCACTATTCAAAATTAATTTTAAATCGAGTAAAATCATCAGGCATTATTTAAATGCTCATTTCTGCTTCAAAGACATCTGCAAAAATAAAAAAAATATTTTGAAAAGTGAATCAACTTGAAGACTAAAGAATCAACATAGCAATGAATAGATTGACCTAATGAATAATTGAAAATGGGAACAAAAAACAAAACTGGTGAAAAATTTAAAGTTTTAGAAAAAAGGAAACTACTATTTTCGAAATGGTTTATAAAATTCTCCAATCCCAAACAACATATAGCCATCATAAATATGATTAACCCATGCAAGCCTCATCATAAATCTTTGCTACGATCACTTCCGTATACATACCTGTTGCCATATTTAACTTCAGTCAACTCTTCAACTAATCACTTTTCAAAGTCGTTGTTTAAAAAATGCATTTTCTTACTCTATAGTTATTTAAACAACATCTTTACTACAATAATTTAGCCATGACAACACTGAAGCATGAACGTTTACAAACCCCCTTCCTTTCCAGTTCTGCCAAGTACAAAGAAACTCTCAACTCATGCAGAGTGTCGCCGCCAAACATGCTGCCCATGAAGCAGCCGTCATTCACGAGAATTCTGTGCACCTAAGCAAGCAATGTCATTAATGGCAATCATTTTCAACTTTGGCGATTTTGGAAATATGCATTTTTAAAAACATAAAAAGAAAATATAAAACACTTGTTTAAATGTTCCTGGCAAATCATTGATCCAGTGCAAACTGAAATAAACATGAATTTTCAATTTAATCAATCGAGTAAATTTTTAACCGAGTTTAAGAAAGAATTATTTTGAAACGCAAATCCTATGAAAAATAAACAGTGAACTAAAAAAAAAGTGGAACGAGCAGAATCCAGATGACCTGCCTGAGACTAGAGAGCACAATATCAAATGTACAATCCCGGTATGGCAGATATTCTTCATCGACCACAACTGAACATGTGGGAACGTCATCCGACTTCAAACTGACATCCTTCAATCAAGTTTCAATATCAAATTTGTAAATTATTTCAATTATCATTTTTAATTCAAAATATCAATATCACATATTATGATGAAATATTAAAATGAAATAATTTATCAATTCAAAAAAGGTAGTTTTTGGCTTCGGCTTCTAATGGAGCTCTAGGGGTCCCCCAGATTGGGGCAACAACAACAACAACAACAACAACAACAACAACAAGGTAGTTTTAAAAGTTACCAAGAAATGAGATGACAGGTCACATTGCTGTAACATGCCAATTGTTTCTCTAACTACATTCCTGCCAACATAACCCTTCCCACAGCCTAGGTCAAGAGCTGCTGTGAAATTCCTACAAGTGAATTTCTTATAAAAATGAATAACAAGTCAACAAAACCTAAATGAAAACTTTATCTTGCACACCTTTTGATGTCATATATTCTGTCAGCCACCCTCCAACCCACCTGAATTGTTGACGTTATTATTTAAAATAAAGTTCTAACCAGAAATACTTTAACTTACGAATTTAAATATAACAAAAACAAAAAAATATTTTTTGAGATATGAGTCATGTGTATGTGAAAAAATTATCAAAAAGTTGATCTAATTATCATTGTTATTATTTATTCAACATATTTTTATAACAATATATTAATTCAAATCGAAAATTTTGACTTGAAATACTTGATTAAAATGAAACACCATTATAATTAATTACCAAAATGCCAATAAATGCTCATTATTTTGATCAACTGCTTTAAACTACAAACCTACTCCTGATACCACCATTAAATTTGAGTATTCAGTTTTAAGTATGAGTCCATCTAAGATACCTAACCAACATGTATAAATTCATCTGAGAGTCATGCAACAAAATGTTGTGATGCAAATGCACACATATACAACTATAATTAAAAATAATTATAACATTGATAACAGTTAACATGTTTACTGACTGTTATCATCAATATAGTCATCATAGTTGTTATTCAAATAGAGACATGTTTCAGGCTTTGCCCTCCACGTTACCACAGTCCTCCTTCCTCTCTTTGATAGTGACCAGGCTGGCTTAATGTGTCTTGCACCAATCACATCCCAACCACTTAACATTTAATCTCCAGTTTTATCTTTCATCCTCATTAATTTGTTGCTCCATTTAATTCTTGAGTCACACAACACAATTTTTAAGCATTTACGTTTTGCTCTTCAGTTTCTATAATAAATCTTTCCCAAAAGTAGTAAAACGTTTAGGTTTAGACAAAACAGCTCATTGCTGGGCCTTGACTTGAATTTTATTGTAAAAACTAATTAGGCACACTTAATAAATATCCATTTAATAAACACTTATTATTTTCACAGCCGATCTTGTTTTCTCATTCATATCGTTATTCATATCGTTTTTCATATCGATTAGCTAACTCACTTCCATTTTTAACTTTGGTTACTTTGACATCTTACCTCTTAACTATAAAATAATATTGACAATAAAAATAAAATAATTTTTAATAAGTATAAGATAAGAATAAGATATTAGTACACTTATTATTTAATTTAACAAACTGCAAAATGTCAATCATACTTCTTCTTTTAAATAATCAAACACTGTGTGATCAGCATTCAACATAGATCGCTGCTTCTGAACAGTTTTAGCTTTTCTATCAAACACGTTCATGACACCACCCCGATCTGAACTAAACCTCCTCGCTGCGACCATATAAAAATTGCCTAAAAAACGATCAGTTGCTAATTTTTTAATCATGCACCCACACCACCTTGGTGACATTTTTTATAATTATTAAAAATTAAAGTAGACGGTTGCAAATCTTAGTAAAAATACTTGAATGACTAAGCAGAAAAATTAACTGATGTTAATTTGTATGAATTACAAAACACTCAATCGATATTTCGCTAAGTTGATAACTGAGAAATGCTTCAAATTGTTGAACACACATTTAATTAGCACAACATATTTTTTTATGTAAACAAAACTTGTCCTAATTATATATATATGCATGTATATATATATATATATATATATATATATATATATATATATATATATATATATATATATATATATATGTTGGTGATAGACCATAATTTTTACAATATTCTATAACATTTACATCCGTTAGAATTTATATAATATTGTAAAATATATAATCAGAAATCAGGTGTCATTGCCTTTGAAAAAGGCAAATTTACTTACTTTGGAGGTGATCCACACGAACGAATGTACTTTTGAAAAAAGATATGTCTATCTAAACATTTAGATGGTTTTTGAGCCCTGTCCGATAGAGTTTTGTTGATCAAAATACACGCCAAACCTTTCAACCTAGCTGTTATTCAAGTTATTTCATCTGAAAGCAGCAAAATAGATCTCGATGTTTTTTACTGTAATCTTGATGATGTTATAACAACATGTAAATATCAAGAAGTTGTTATTATGATGGGTGACCTGACTGCCAAAGTTAGTTTAGAAAAAATGCATGACGTGGTTGTTCTTCACGAGATAGATGAAAAAAAATGAAAAAGGAGAAAATTGGATTGAACGGTGTGGGTATGTCGCAAATGATCAATTTTTTATCAATACCTTGTTTGACAATCACCCAAGGCAAAAATATACTTAGAAGAGTCTAGGAGACAAGGTAAGAAATATGATTGATTACATTACTCTAAAAATATAATTTTGAAATGATGTTTTACAATGCAAAAGTAACCCTTGAGCAATGAGCTGATTGTGGCAGTGATCATGACCCAGTTGTTTGTAAAAATTGAACAATTTCCAGAAAATTCTAGTAAGGAAAATTGAAAAGACAAATTTTAAATTGATTAATGCCAACAATTCGGTAGAGTTCAAACAATACTGTATATAAATGCGCATAAAATCTCTAGTTCAAACATGACCTTTTAATATAAAAACTTTGCAGCTTTTTCATTTATTACAGTTTTCCAAGCTTGTATGCTAGGCACTTGCCTTTACTGCGGCGGTACCCAGACCCCTTGTGCAAGACATGAAACAAAACTAAACGTGCTTGCGCCGCATATTACGTATCAATTGGTAGAATAGAATTTCAAATACTGAATAGCTTGCATACAGTGCTCACAAAGAAACGCCTTAGATGGACCGGCCAAGTTAGGAGAATGAACCTGGACGGTATTCGCACGAGCCTCTTGTACGGTAGTTGAGGGACATATAGAAACAAGAACATAAAGAAAGACTGTCAGTAAAGCAATTATTGATAAAAATCACAGCATGTTCGGCGTTAAATAACTTTCAAAATTAACTTCGATTTTTCTAACGGTTGATCGTAAATCATTTTCAAGTTAGTTTCTTTAGTTTAAAACCAAAATTTTTGTTTATTTATTACACGAAAACTTGTAATTGTTCATGGAAACTAAAAAACGAGGCCATACAATATAGTGCACTGAAAATGTGCGCGGGTGCGTGCTAGGGTATTCTTCTTGCTGCAACTGCCTCTGTTGTAAATACTACCACCCCGTTATAGCTAGCACAGTACGTCATTCTATTGGTGGTGCCTTAGTATTTACCACTTCTTTCTTTAGGTGAACATTTCGTTCACTATAAAGCATCTAGGTAACACATATTCTAACATTCTAATGCTTTTATCATCACCGTAAAACATGACATTATGCTGTGCTAGTGATTGCGATCACACACGCCCAAGGTGAAATTTGCTTGGCTATTTTCGCGCCAATGGTATTTTCATGACTGTATCATGATTGTTTCACGATTAATCACTAATGCAAATTGGCATCAACTTTTGTTTCCTTTTGCTCTCGTCAGCTGCCATTTTCTAATGCACCTAATAAGATGTAATCATACCATCCTTGTCGACGCAAACAGCTCCTTGCTGCCAATGAAATGGCATATTTACTTTTTCCAAACCATAAAATTTTGTCAACCAACTCATGCAATATTTGCAGTGCCGTAACAAGGAAAATATTAGCCGAACAGAAAAACGAAACGGCGGATTGATTTAATAAATTTTGAAAAGTTAATAAAAACAATGCAAAATATATATTTTCAACTTTAAACCAACAAATTTTTATACAATTTTTGGTTTTGCAATTTATTATTCAAAACAGTCTCCAAATATTCTTAATCTCCTGCAGCAATAGTAATGGACTTTCCTTTAGGATCATCATAGCGGTCCATTGTGTTGATGGACATCAGCATGGTTACCCCAAACAGCAAAATAGTGATGAGTATGGCCGCAGAAATTAGGAACATCCAAATTCCAATAGTGAAAAATCCAACACAGTCATTGTAGAACCCGAATTTATCTCCATTTTTCATGAAAACTTCAAACTTGAAAATAAAATTAAAAAATAGGTTATGATGATAAAGTTAATTTGATGAAAAAACACCGACCTGAAGTCCAACAAATGTCAAAGCTGGTACACCCTTAGTTGTAAAATTAGGTGAGGAAGAAGGATAGAGAGGTTCTTGCTCATAACAACTGTATGAATATCCAAGTGGAGTGGGATCCAATAACTTATCCCCTACACTGGCTGTAATTACTTCATCCTGTTTCATTTCATTTATCAAGAATTTATCAAGATGATTTATATCAAAATACTTTAGCTTCCACAAACAATTATTCATTAAACTCATCAAAATTTATAATTTTAACATTTTGATAGTTTATGAATAAATATTTATTAATTTTTTAAAGATTTTATACATTTTAATTATTTTTCAATTGATTTATTTCAGGGGGATGCCTGTCAAAAAATTCTTTAAACAATTTAATTTTATCACGAATTTTCTTTAAAACACTGTAAACAATACAAGAACAAGTGTTGATACAAACCAGTGTAGAGTTGGAATAAGAAAGAACAGCTTTCGAAACAAACCAATACCCAGAGTTCACAGCACCTGATGTCTCAAAATATAATCTGAAAAACATTAAAAGATTTCATTGAACCTAAAACCTAAAACACGCATCATGTGAAACAAATCTTAAGTTGGAGGTTTCTGCTGGAGTAGGATTTTGTTGAAAAATCCGAATTAGGATGCACTTTAATTACAAAAACAATTTTTCAAACTTGTGTTTTTTTAGGTATATGTGTGTAGCGACGTGCAATCATATTTTGCACTGATGATAAATGCTAACAAACGAGTTGCACAATCGTTTTTATTTTAAAAGAAATGGGTGTGCACGTACGTGCAGTAGTGTTAACTTTATTAAAAATATTCATTTATACATAAAATCTTTTAAAATGAATGCTGTAAATACTTTTTTAATATAATTTATTTTATTACATTATATTTATTATTGAATTTAAATAAAAAAATAACGGTTTTATAATTTTCACTTGAAAATTGTGTTCTAATTTTCAAACAGCTTTAAAATAGCGTGAAGCATTTTTTGAAATTTTTATAATACATTCATTTGGGTTGACCTTGTATTGAATGTGCACACATTTTTATAAAATTACTTTAAAAAAAAACCTACATTTCAAAATGAACAAGCTGCAATTTCATAAATAATTATGTTTTGAATCAATTTCTTAAGTTTGTGGTAACGTTTCATACCCTCAAATGTTAGAGTATTTAACGCTCCTTCATTTTTTTCAATTATCATAATGAAAACAACATACAGTTTGAGTTGAAATAAAATCATGAACTTATTATATTTTATTGAATCACTTTTGCAGGTTTAAAAATGAATCGCTTCTTCGTGCTGTTATGAAATTTGCCAATTATGAAATCCGTAACTCTGCAGAGCGTTGAATTTGCAGTACAGTCGCGAACAATAAGCACTGCACAATAATGCAAAAAAATTATAATGTCATCTTTCAGAATATTTAAAACTTGAACATTGAATAATTTTACTAAGGAGAACAACTACATTGACTAATTTTAAATGCTTTTTGAAGTCTTTTTTATTTAGTAGTCTTATCGTAGAACAAAAGTTTAAAACCAGAGTGTTGGAGATTTTGGTCGGTGTCGGAGTTTTTCAGGGATCGGATTCGGTGTCAGATTTGCTCATCCAACTCCGGAAAATGTTATAAATTTGAAAAAAAAATTTTCCGAAATTTTTTTTAAGATTGTGTTTTCCAGAAAATGTAGCGATATGCAATCTTTTTTAATACTGAAAATATATGTTTTAAAACATAAAAATAAGAAAATTTTACTAAGAAAAACGATTACATTGAATTATTTTAAGTGCTTGTTAAAGTATTTTTTGTTTAGTAATGATGATAAGGTTAATTATGATGCAAAAGTTGAAAATTTTTTTGGGGAACATAACCCGGAGTCTGGATGGAGTCGGAAATTTTTACCCGGAGTCGGATTTTTTTTGACGAGCCAAAGTTGGATATTTTTCATCAGATTTTGACACTCTGGTCGAAACTTGGAGTCTGAAAATTTTTAAGAAGTCGGAGTTGGAAAAAATTGTATCCGACCTCTAACACCTGCATTACAAATACCCAAAATTTGTTAATAATGATGATAAAATGTTTAATATTTTTCTACACAATCATTATTTGTCTTCACTCAACATAGCACCTCATATTAATCACATTCTCACAAAGGGTTTTCAAACATTTCACACATTATAAACACTCTGCTCACATGGTCTCAGAGGCATCAAATTATTCAAATATCATTGAATCGCTTATCATCTCACACATCAAATATGCAGCTCCATCATGGTCAGGTTTTGCTACACAACAACTTCAACCTTTCAACAAAAAATTAAATCGCCGCAACTGTCTACCGCATCGTATCCATCCTACTGTCACTCATATATTCAATAAATCGATTCAAGATTAGTCAGGAAAGTAGATACTTACAACAACCACATCATCCATCTTCTACTGCCACCAATCAAAATTACTACACACGACCTTCGTCAACGCAAGCATAACTATCAAGTCGCCACTCAATCAACTTATCAGGGAAAGACCTTCATCACAGAACACCTCAAATATATTAACACTCAGTAAATATTTGCCATTTTTCAATTTTGTCTACTTTTTCTTTAATGAGCTTACTCTTCAACTGGTCAATTAATTATTTTTATTTATTCGTTTTTTCTCCATGGTTATTATGGTTGAACATTCTAACTCTTTTATTTATCTTCTGTTATTATTTTATACTATTGCCTTGCATGTTGTAACATTTTCTGCTTCTGTCAAACTCTGATTTTAAAAGAATAAAAAAATTGTAGATCGTGAACATGGCTGTTTGAAGATTGTTAACACTCAAAAAAACCAAGCCCGAAATTTGAGTTCATATTAGAGTTATTTGCAAGATAAGATGTAAAATCTTAAATGATAAAATATGCAAGGTGTATTGCGGACGTTTTTTGCAGCATCATGTAAAAAATATTGAATGAGTATAAAACAAAGAATAAATAGAACTTACTCAAGTTCCATGTTTTTGTACTCATCTGCATCACCAAGTTTCAATTTCACAGAACAGCTAAGATTCAACATTTTTCATGTATACAAATAATTGAATACCAAAAATTAGAAATGTAAAAACAAATGAAAAAACTCAAAAAACTCAACATATACCTGACAGATGATGTGACATTAGTAAACCGCCCACAATCATTGTCCTTGACTTGAACGTTTGCGTACGGGATCGTCAAATTCTTTGATTTGTCCACTATCAAGTCATCAAAGTAGAAGAGGAAGTTATCAGATTTGATTAGTTCCCGACCGTCATCCTCTGCAGCCAACAAATGTCTGCTGCTTGATGCCAAACCTCCATCAGAATCCTATTAAAATTCGTTCAAACATATTTCACAATTATGTTAAAATAACAATAACCTTAACAAATTGATAAAGTTATAAATCAGTGGTCTTCAACCTAATTTTATTCACCGCCCCTTTCGTGTATTTTTTCTTAAAAAAATCACCCCCTACAAACACGGGAATAGAAACTTGAAGCGAAGGCAAATTTAAAAAATATTCATTTAAAAGCCTATTAAATATTATATATTATATAATATATATATATATAGTCTTCGTCTACCTGGACTCTCGCTTTCTGATTTCTGCAAACAATTGAAAGCGCACTTGTTTAAACAAACATTTTTATTCTTGTATTTGACGATCAACTTATTACGATATGTTTTTTTATTTTTATTTGTTCTACTTGTAAGTGCTTTTGAGAACTATTTATTTTAAAAAGCGCTGTATAAATTTTTGTATAATAATAATAATATAATATGTGTTATCTAAGTTGCATGAAAATATAAACAACAGTAAACCATCTCTTCTTTGATTCTTAGATATGAGTTCGGCATTTGACTGTGTCGACCATTGCATTCTTCTGAAACGTCTTAATCATAGATTTGGAATAACTGGCTCTGTTGAACAATGGTTTCGGTTGTACTTAACAAACAGAACTCAGCAGGTAATCTACAAGAATAAGACCTCTTCAGTTCAAACGATAAGATTTGGTGTTCCACAGGGCTCGGTTCTCGGACCGATCTTGTTTATTCTTTACACCTCTGAAATTATTGAGGCGATCGGATTACATGGTTTGGAGTGTCATGCATTTGCAGATGATATTCAGCTTTTTGCCACAGAATCCTATAGCAACTTTCATCTGCACTGGTTGATGGTCAAAAAAAGAATTTTGTTCAAAATATCAACAATCATATTCAAATGTACGAAGGGAATGGCGCCAGTTTATTTGAAAGAAATGCATGCACCGAAACAACTGTCTTTGTCTTTTAAAACTGTCTGCTTAAGGTCTGATGATGACAGAAAAATTTTTCAAGAAATTATTGAAATCATTTTTGTTTTCATTATAAGATTTGGTTTATCGTAGCAATTCAACTTTTTTTTTAGATAGTGCTTTTGAGAAATATTTTGTTTGTAATTAGCGCTATACAAATTTTCGAATAATAATAATAATATAATTGACGATCAGAGGAAAAGATCATTCTTACTGTCAAGCTAACATGTCATTCATTAATTTCCTAGTCAATTACTGAATATTTATCTGAAAATAAACATTTTTGAGTTAAAACTGCATATTATTAAAATGTAATTTTCCACATTTAATATTAATAGTTGAAATAATTAAAATCATGAATTTCAGCTGATAAGAACCTTACTCTTCACGCACCTTGACAATATTACAAATGTGAGACTTTAAATTCGTCAAAGCCAGTCGAAGGTCTCCTCCGTTGCCTACATCCAGTCTATTTCTTAGCTTGTTCATAAGCTTGTTACAGCACTAAATCCAGTTTCAACCATGTATGTTAAAGGAGACGCTAATAACAACAATTCTATTCTTGACCACAACTTCGTGTGTTTAATGTTAACATTTTGTTGCAGCAACATCTCAGGTATACCTCCTTCATTGAAATTCATTTTACTGATTTCATCATTTTGTAGTTCCACTATTTCCTCTTGCAAATCAACTTCAGTAAAAGATGTTTCAAAAGAATTTAGCATCCATACTTCAACTTTAAATTTATTATAACCTGGAAGCAAATTGTCATATCTTCCTTGAGCATTTTTAGATGAGATGCATAAACGTCAAAGTCTTCAGGAAGTATTTCATTTGTTAACGGAGTGAGTCCAGGAAAAAGCTAGCTTACCAATAGTTTGAAAATATTTAAAAAAACTGTAATTTAAAAGTATATACATCCAAGTTGTAACCGCTTGATGCGTATTGAAGCCAAAAGAAAAGACACAATACTTGCAATAAAAAAACAACATAATTAAAAGATAACATAATTAAAATACTGTATAATAATATCAAAAGAAGCAGGGTAATTATTTTTTAATTTTACTTCGCCAATAAATACGTTGACGAAAATTACATGTTTATTCAGTTAAAAATTCTCTCACATCATTCCCCTTTAAAACATCACACCCCTACAGCCCCTTTTGTTCCAAGTGCTCCCCATTTTCTAAAATCACCTCCATTGAAAACCACTGTTATAAATCATTGTAAAAAAAAATACATGCCTCATTACTCTCATTAGCGGTGTAATATGCAGTAAAAAACTGGTTGGAGGACTTGAAATGGGACACAATCATTCCAATCAATTTATCTGAAGTATCAATATAGGTACAGATTAATTCAAAATTATTGCAAAAAGTCATCATTAACTCCTTTAATCATGTGTGTGAAATAATTTTTAAGTAAATAAATTAACAAAAAATAAAACCAAAAAAATGCACTTTTAATTTCCAACCAATAAATAATCAACCACTGAAATATCGCCACAGCATGCAGATGTGCATACCATAAACTTTAATATGTCCTAATCTCCAATTTCCATTCTGCCCTAAAATGTCATAGCAGTAGGTGATAGTTCCATGCAGGTAACTGAATCACCTCACTCCACCCACCCTTTAATTTTAGTTTTAAAAACCAGGGAAGACAGTAAAAATTGTCTTTCTTATACTTAAGTCAACTTTTCGTTTATTTAAAAAGCTTAGTTTTATATTCAATATAAATTACAAATTTTTATTGAAATACCAGGGTATTCTCCAAATCAATTAGAAATAACTAGTGATTATGAAATATCTATCCACCAACCAATGTCACGTCACCAAAGTTGTGCAAGAATTCTAATTAGAGCAATTTTAGAATGGCTACTTTGCACCATGATGCAGTAACTGAAATGCTCTATGAACATTTTTAACTCAATTAAAATTTTGTTTTTGTTACATTGGTTGGTCCTTCATTATTATAATTCTTCTTACAATGTGGACCACATGACTTACCTCATATGAAGCAAGAACTCAATGATGTAAAACTTTAGCTATTCAACAGTTGATTAATCTTTGATTTGCTATTATTATCCAAAACAATACAATCAATAAAATAAATCATATTTGATAAAAAATGAACAAAACTAAAAAATTTTATAAAATTTTCAAAACCGACCAATTTCTTTTTGACTCAATTCAGAATGCGAGAAATCAATGATGAACAGATTTTTCTTCGAGTTTGTAGAAAACATTGCATTGAGATCCTTCGTTTCATGTAAATTCTTGGCATTTATTTTGAGGACATAGAAGGAATCATCACTTTCGAAGATTTGTGAGACAGCCAGCGCTGCATGTTCAACGTTGGGTAGGAAGGAGGACACGTAATCTGACATGAGCATCTGAATTGTGAACAACATCAAAACAAGTATGAATAAAAAGATAAACATGTATAGAAAAGTTTACTAAAATCTTCATATAGAACTTGGAATTGAAAAAAAGTTTAATCAAGAGAAAATATGTAAATACATAAATTCATTTCCATAAATCTTCATAATCTTTATCACCCATTAACTTTTTGTTTTGTTGCATGCATAGTAGAATGTTTGAGGTATGAAATGTATGCATGCATATAAAGCAGAATTAATGTACAAACAAGATAATCAATGATGAAAATTAAACAACTTTCAAGTTGTCGTAATCCTTCTCTTCCTGATCTTCACCAAACACAGATCCGTGGAGCAGAATGTCAGACAAGGAAAGCTTATCAGTGAAATGTTTTAAGGTTGAACATAAAATATTCTAGAACATCACCATAACTATTACTATTATTAACCATAAAAATTCAAAATAATCATCTTAAACCTTCCAAACCTGTTAAACAAACATTCATTACTTTATTCAATTATCAGCAGCAGACAACCTTATCTTGAATGAACAGTAGGACATTGTCAGCCACTTTTGAAATGAACCTGCTTTGAAAGTCAAACTTTGAGGTGAAATGTCCAGCAAACACTTGGGAAAATTCTTTCTCTCTGCAATTTACAAGCAAATCTATAACAGTTATTTGTGTTAACATTAACTCCAAGTAGATAACTATAGAAAACAACAACGAAAATTTTTAAATAAATGTAATAGCACATGGTAAACTTCTTCCGGATAATGATATTTACTTTGAATTTACTTTCAATATAATTTTTTATCCAAAATTATTTTCCCAAAAAATTTTCACAAGTGTTTTTTCTGTCTCGTAAATTTTCAATAAATAAATATATTTTCTAGAATTCTTTTCACAATAATGTGTGCTAATTAACATGAACAGCAAGCAATGTAGTCAAGTGATCAAGAGAATGAAATTTTTCAAAAATTGTTTAAGACAAGAAGAAGTCAATTTAAGAAGTAAAACAATAAATAATATGTTAAATAATGAAAAACTGATCTGATGTCATTTGTGGATTGACAGTTAGCTTTTAGTTTAATTTAATAGTGAATATTTATAATTAAAATGTGTTCAGCTTCAGTGCTTTGTTTTTTAAATCTAATCTAAAGCTCAAACTTTTTCTGTTGACTGAAATAAAATAAATTTATTAAATTGAGCATCTGACACACACATAATTATAATACATATAAAATACAAAATAGCAACAAATTTTTAAAAAATTTAGCGTAAATGTAAATAAATTAATTATTTATAAAAAAGAAGATAGTTGTTGAAGCCAAACCCTCTCTAATTCATTTCAGACTTTGTCAGTTTTAATTTTAATTAATTAAATTATTTTTAAATGATTTGTGATGCTGATGAACAGTGATTATTCAATTATTAACTTTATAAAATGTAAAGGTAAACTAAAGTTAAAGTAACTCGCTTGGACTTTAAATATTAATTAATTAAATTATTAAATTAATATTTAACACACACTATGAAAAATTTCTTTCAATTTATTTTCATTTCTTCCTCATACATCCTAGCTGACTTATCCAACGAATTAACGCTAATGATTAAGATTAACATTATATTATGTCATTAAGATTATTAACTCATTAACTAACGAATCTATTACATTTTTATCCAATATTTTAAAGCTAAAAGTGAAAAAGTCTCTTTTAATTTTTAACTCATGCAACAAAAAGTTGGGAACTGTTTTAAATTTTTAACGCAGTACTGACCTGTCGTTCGACCACATGAAAACTGGGACGTATTTATTTTCATGGCTGCTAACCAGAACTCCGTAAAGAAGCACCAACAGTGTCACCGCAATCTTCATCATTTTGAACAATTTTGCAAAAACCCAAATCGGTTACGTTTATTTATGTTCGTAGCAAATGATATGCAGCGCGCATATATATACCGACACGGTTTTTGTCAAATTACCGACTTTTTCAGCATTAAAATATTTGGTAAAAGACGGTTTTAAATCGATCGAAATAATTTTAAAAGTTTCAAAGCCAACTTTAAAAAAGTTAACAATAATTTATAAAAAATTTGTAAAATAAAAACAGAAAATGTTTAGTCAAATTATCTCGAAACTTTCAAGTTCAGTCATACGATTACATCCTCGCCAGGCAATAATAATAATAACCACGTGATATAAAATCCGGTCTTATCAAGTTGTGTCAGAGAAGGCGACCGACCAGCTGAGGCGTGTTTTGCTAGGCGGGTAAGTGAATTTTAATTCAATGGTGCTACCTGTACTACAATTTACATAGCTCATTGACAGAAAATTGCCTAATTTTGCCGAAACGTTACTATATTGTGAGGTTTCCGAATATAATATATAGAAATAATCAAAAAGAATATTTTTACGAAAGCGCGGTGCAGATGTAGCAGATATTTTCTTCCAGTGCTATAGCAAGTTCACACACAGTGCATCCAATTATCGCTCCATGTGTCTTAAACTTAATCCTTCTAAATTTGAATTTATTTGTTTTAATAAATCTAAACGCTCTATTACTATTATTACCTCTATTATCATGATTCTGAAACTTTTGTTGTTTCTCCCAGGTTTCGTAGTCTAGACTTTATTTTTGAACCTAACATGTCTCTTTCTTTTCAGATTAATAGTGTTGCTAGAAGTTCATACTTTCAACTACGTGGAATAAAAAAAACTTTTGCCTTTTCTTGACGATCCTAGTTTTCTTCGTGTTACTTTTTTCGTTTTATCTTGGATTGATTATTGTAACTCGCTCTACTATGGTTTTCCTGTTTCTAGACTCTATTCTTTAAGTAGAGCTTTTGACTCTGCTGCTCGTCTGGTTGCTCGCGCCCCTTTCATTTCTCATATATCTCCATATCTTGTTCTCTTGCACTGGCTACCTATAAAATATTGTTGTCACCCTTTGACCTCGTAACTACCACACCAATGTTTTAACTTCATAAGTGTTCGTTAATCCGTAGGCTCAAGATTTTCGATAGATAAACACAACTGCTTCAAACGCAAACTTTGTTTAACGTTTATTTGAATACCAAGAGCAATAGAAACAATAAACTAATCCAAGTAACTATATAAATTACATCTACTCCTTGGCTTTATTTGCTGGAATCCTGTCTGTAAACCTGGCAACGCAAGACCTATATATAGCCTAGATTTTTAACATAGATTCAATATTTCTTTACAATCCTCTAATCCAAAAATTAAAAACATAGCAAAGATAATAATAATTAGGATAACAACAATATGGCGCAATTTGATAATTCTCGTGATTATAACATTACCTCCACCTTAGAGTGCTAGCCCCTAAAATAGGCGTTACTTCTTTATTTTGGTAAATAGGGATAATCTATTCAAATTAACAACTTTCATTTTTGTCGATTTTCTTCCATGTTCATAGGTCCTATAGATCAAGTCCTTTATCTTGTTAGTGATCTTTTATCGACCTTTCCAATTTCTTGGAAGTTTTGCCTGGTATCTTTTGTACCGATCTTTCAATTTTTTGAGAGTTTCGCCGGGAATTGCCTTTTTCTGCGCCATAATTTGTACAACTAGACCAGGTCTTTGCTCTTAATCCCTGCGTTATTTCATTTCGAGTCATGCCACTTTTTCTTTGTTGCGATTCTTCTAGCCATACGCAGACGTTGTATTCTTGTATTGATTTTGTCTGCACTTGAAACAAGTTCTATTCATTTACTGAGTTTACGAGTTGTAGAATGACCAGACGGTTATCTTTGATGCATGTTGTAAGATTCGTCGGTGACATCTTTCCTATCGATCAGTGAAGCAGCGATGCACATCTCATCCTCATCAGCTATAAAGCCGTTATTGAAATCATCATCCAGGTAGACAAGGATCAAGTTTTCATTCTATCACCAATTTGTCCTGTATTCACCAAGTATTCGCATTAACATCACCTTCACTGACATTGTTACTATTTATAAAATTGTCGTCTTAGTCATCATCACGATAACTACGCATCATACGGCAGGGCATGATGGTCTTTGAATTTCGGACAGACAGTATTCGAACCATATCATCGCGTAATAGCAGCGCGAGACATGGCACTTCCACTGACTGAGCTAACTCGGTGACCAGTTGAAACTACATTAACTGCCTTCGCTCCTTTCGAGTCGAGGTTTCACTTTTGTAGTTCTTTCTTCAGATAGTTGTATCGAGTTCTTCAACTGACGACATTCTTTATTGCAGAAAATTTTCAATTTATCAAAAACGTTTTTTCTGACACCAATGTTGTCACCCTTAGACTTCGTAACTACCAACACCAACGCTATAACTTCAATGATCTCTATATTTCCAACACAAATATTGTAGTTTCCAACGATCGTCGAGCGTTCGTTATTCCGTAGATTAACATAACTGCTTAAAACGCAAATTTTGTTGAACGTTTATTTGAATACCGACAGTAATAGAAACATTAAACTAATCCAAGTAACGATATAAATCACATTTTGCTGGAAACCTGACTGTAAACCTGACAACGCAGGACCTATATGTAGCCTAGATTTTTAACATATATTCAAATTCAATATTTCTTTACAACCTTCTAATCTACAAACATAGCAATTTTATTAAATAGTGAAAGCAATAAATGTTATCTTTTACAATTCTACATTATCATTAATATAAATTAAAAAAATTGTAGGCAAGTTTTGGGCAAGATTTGAAAATCACTTCAGTGAAATGTGAATGTCCAAGGTGCAAATCCTTTGCCACCATGTTGCAACATTATTATGTTTTGGACATGAACATTTCATGTCAATAACAGACATGAAGTGTTAAATGGAATGGAAGCAGAATGGAAGCAGAATAAAAATATGCTCAGAATTAATGTAAGTAATAAATAATATAAAAACTATTTTATTTTAATGTGAAATTATTGCAACATAAATAAATTAAAATAAAACATTTTTCTTAATCAAGGGAAATTATGACTCTCCTGTCACAGAAACTGATACCAATAACTTAAAACAAGATTTGGAAATGTTTGGTTGTTAGCTTTAATTGGCTACTAAGACCAGAGCCAGATATCGCCAAACTAGATATTTCCGATGTTGAAGAACTTATTTTTTCCAGAAATTTTTTGCAAGCTAAAAACAAAAAATCTGGAATCAATGTTGCGGATGACAAAAGCTAAAATAGTCAATATTCAAGAAAAGTTCCAATGGAAAGTGGTTGCTAGCTAGAAAGAACAGACTTGAGGCTAGCAATTTTGGGAGTATTTTAAAGGCCTACCAACAAAAAAGAACTCCTCTGTCTTTCCTTAAAAAATTGACAGGTAATTTATTAAAAGAAATAATTATTTCCACCTAAGTTTAACAATTAGTGTAGACATGTTGAACTCATATTTTTCATAGGTCTTATAATAATTCAAAACATAAATCAATTTCAGACACTTACAGCCCGGAGAAGATAAAATCTGTACAGTGGGGGCGAGAGAATGAAACGTATGCGCTAGAGTGGGCATCGGATGTAATAAAGAAACCAATTAAAAAATGTGATTTGTTTTTACACCCCAGTGAATGTTCAGGGGCAAGTCATATTGGTATTGTAGATGACAAGGCCATAGTAGAAATAAAATGTCCCATTAAGTATCGAAACGGTGGTATGAAAAACAGCCTGAAAGAGGACGATTCTTATATAATCTACTACAATAATGATGCATTGGGCGATTTAAAAAGTAAATACTAAGACATAATTTTTTTTATAAACTTATTACATTTTTATATTATATCACATTATGTTTTAAAAAAAACTTTTTTTTAATAAATAATAAATGAAAACTGAAATAAAATAAGAAATTTTATAAAAAATTGAAGCAAGTTTCTATTCTAAATTACAAAAATATTTTGTTTCAACTTCCTTTAACAATGGGTACTGGAAATTGGTAAGAGCTCCAATAAACTGAAAAACCTTACAAGCATGAGGTAGTAACGTTATCGGAAGTAATTGCAAAATCCGAAAACATTTCATTCGTCCAATTGTTCTTTCTACGTGTATTCGTGCTTTTGAAGACTTGTTCTTGAGAAAATTGTGGTGTTTTTAAAATGGAGGTATGTTTAAGTGTACTTCAGGACCCAACAATTCAGCAATCAAAAACCCTTTGACTGCAAGCACTAAGTCACCCACGACTAAGCGACAAATGTTGCTTTATGTTGCTATGCCTTATAATAGCCTTGTCAGATGTCGATCCTGGATATAGTTCACTCAGGTACGTAATTACCCCATTTGGGGTAACACCAACAAGACCTTTCCATGTGTTTTGGCTTTTGTACGAACTATATGTCTATCCATAGATTTGGGTACTTCAGATTGGATCTCTATGCAATCTAAAATAATCCTGAAATTTGTGAACTGACTAAATGTAGTTAGTAAACATATTTTATTTTTGATTCTGCATGGTATTACAGACATTTGTGTTTTGAAAAAAATTGTATGCATAACATACACAAATGTTACAAAGATGTTAATTACACAAGGCTGTGAGCATCCAACCCGAAATACCAAATCTATGTGTGGTACATTTAGATGCAGCTTCATCAGTGTAAGTAATAGTTTGTCTTTCTTTGACATTTTTGTAACCTTCCACCCCTAAAAATATTGCAGATCCTCATTTTCTATTTGCTTATACAAGATATCAAATATTTTTGTCCAAGGAAGTCCTGTGTATAAGAAAACCATTTCATTGTCTTCAATATGGCTTAATGTCAAATAGCCTTTTGAATTTTTGAACATATTTTGTCTATATTATGAGTAAATAAAGTAGGTCCTTTTTTACCATTCACAAAATGACAGCTGCAAATCTTACAACATTAACTTGTTCCACTATCTTTGCGTCTGCAAACATACAATTATTTTACTTTTGAAAAACTAATTTATCAAAGTGAAAAATAGTACAAATGCTAATATAAATTAATATTATTAATAATAAATAAATCCATTAGATTAGTATTAATTATTTAGTTCATTTTCTTAATTTTCAACGAATTCATCTCATAAATAAACTAAAGAAACCAGAGGTTATTAAATGAAAATCAATCTTCGTTTAGCGTCCAGAGACCTAGTTTCCCGAGTTAGGACGTTGTTTTTTTTGCCATCAACTTTTTGCGCCAAATTAGACGATCAGTTGTATCCTTTTCTTTTAAATTTAGAGCTTCCATGTCTTGCTCGATTGTTTTCGACCAGGACTTTTTTGGACGGCCTTTGGGACGTGTGCCAGGTACTTCAACATCTGCAAGAGAAGTTATGGCACTGTTTCCACTTCGCTTGAGATGACCAAACCACCGCAGACGGTGTTGCGGGCATTCGTCCTTTATATCATCTAAACCAGCACGACGCAGGATTTCGATAGATTTGATGTGGTCCTTCAGACTAATTCGTTGCATCCATCGGAACATTTTCATATCGGTTCGGTGAAGTTATTGTTCCAGTTTGGTTGTCATTGGCCATGTTTCTGCACCATGTAACAACACCGGACGTATCAAAGATTTATAAAGTCTTGATCGCAATGGTAGTGGGATGTCTCTCCGCATCAATACAAAAGCAAGGAGATGTCATTTATTCCATGCTGCACGTATGCGTGCTCGCACGGCAGCTTCAGCTGTTCCAATACAATCCAGAACATGCTCTAGATATTGAAACGAAACGACGATGTGACTTTCTCTACCTTAATGGCTTGAAAAACATTGCTATTTCGAACTTGTTGTTGTGGATTGATGCAAGCAGAACAAACAAAATTGGACACTTTAGATAAAGTACCAATTATTTTTGAACAACGTTTGTGACACCACTGGTTACACTGCTGACACTTGATTGAATCGTTACCTACACCAGCTTTACAAACTGAACAGGGCCATCGTCCAGTAGCTGTGGATTGGATGGGTTCACCAGTGTTCATTGCTTTGGTTTTGCTTATATTGACTTTGAATCCATGATCGGCAAGTCTGGTGTTCCAATCTTCAAACATCTGTGCTGCATTCTGCTCAGACGTGGCTGTTAAAACGATATCATCAGCATATATTAAATGCCAAATGTCACCAGTGCGTATCGGTTTTGGGATTTTTTCCATCACAGTTATAAATAACAGTTGATTGAGAATCGAGCCTTGGTGAACCCCAACGCCGATGTTAAATGCATCTGTGTTTCCAACCGTTGTGCTGACGAGAGTCATAGTATTCGTATACATTTCCATCACAAGTCGAACAAGATATTCTGGAATGAGTTATCGACGTAGACTCCATCTGATTGCTTCACGGGGAGCTCGATCAAATGCTTTTTCAAGGTTTACAAAAATGTGTGATAGTTGTTGATGCTTTGCGAGGTACTTTTCTTGCAGTTGCCGAAGGATGTGAATGGCATCAATTGTTGATTTCTCCGCTAGGAAACCAAATTGATAATTTCCGATTGTGATGCACGACGTTAATCTTCTCTCAATGATTTTCTTGACAATTTTCAGAAAGTGTTCTAACAGACGTATACCCCGATATGATGAACAGTTCAATGGATCACCTTTGTCTTTGTATAGCGGAACTGTCATGCTATAGTTCCATTCAGTCGGCATTGAGCAATTTCTCCAGACTTCACAGCACAGTTGTAGTAACGTTTGGATACCTGCAGTACCAGATGCTTTGATAATGTCATTTGTGAGTCCAGAGGGCCCTGCTGCCTTTCCATCTTTCAAAGCTTTCAGAGCTTCTGTAAGATCCTCTACAATGATATCTGGAATCGGACCTTTGATGGGTGGAGCGTCCAAGTTGACAGACGGTAGAAGTATTCTCTCCGATGTAGCTTGATCTCATTTTGTTCAAGAACCATATCATTTTTGTCGTTTTTGATAAATGAGGAACCAACTATGTCTTTTTTCGTACGCTTTGCTTGTTTTGCTATTCGATACAGAGATTTCATTTGTTCACCTTTGCTTTTAGTGAGTCACTCTCTGCACTGATCTGTCAAAGACAGTGCGACTTGACGTCTTGCATAGTTGTTCTTCAAGGGAAAATTTTATGGTCATCAACAGACTTTGATTTTTGCCATTGCTTGTATGCAACTTTCTTTTCAGCTATTGCATTTTGTACACTGTCATTCCACCACCAAGTGTCCCATTCATGCTGACGTTTTGTACCAGTTTTCCCCACAAAATGTAATTGCAGCGTTTATCAAAACGGTTTTGTATGTACTCCAATTTGTACTGGCTTGCGATTGGTGGTTTAACTCTATTGCGACAATCTGTTGAAATTTTTCTCGATGAATATTGCTTTTCAGCTTCCATGTTTTGATTCTCCAAGGCATCTTAGATTTATGTTTTGACAGTTTGACAACCAGGTCTGCCTTATAGGAGTCTATGTTGGGCGACACATGATTCGCCAGGTATAACTTTGACATTTTTGAATAGCTTTCGTTGTTGTTGCTTGACAGCGAAGAAATCAATTTGTGTGGCTGATGGTCCACTTTTGTATGTTATGAGATGTTCCAACCTCTTTCTATGATATGTGTTTAATGAACAAAACCCGTGACTTTCAGCAAATTCAAGGATGCGGTTGCCATCTTCATTCCGTTCTCCATAGCCAAAACCGCCATGTACCGTGTCAAAACCATCTGTTTTCTCTCCAACGTGGCCATTGAGATCGCCTCCAATCAGGATTGTTTCAGATTTTGGCATTGTTGAGATGGTGTCAGAGAACGCAGCCCAGAAGTCATTTTTCATCTTTTCTGATTTGCCTGTCTCTGGTGCGTATGCAGAAAAAATAATCATTGTTTGCTTTTATAGGCGAAGCTTGATCCACATGAAACGTGAATTAATCCTTTTAATATCTAGTACTTCTTGGGCTAGCGGTTCCCTGACAAAAATTCCCACACCATTTTTGGCCGTCTTTTGACTATTCCAAAATAGTTAACCTTTTTCATTGTCTGAGTTGACATAAAAAACACCATTCGATTTCCATCGGGTCTCCTGAAGGCAGCAGATGTCAATCCTTCTACGCTCGAGCATTTCTGCGATTTCCATGCTGCGACCAGTCAGTGATCCAACATTGAGCGTTCCAAGTCTAAGTACCATAGAGGGGCCATTCTGAATTTTTTTGTAACATCCCTCCGCTGATGCATACTTCCCAGGGATTCTTGGCACCCCTTGACCACTTAAGGCCTGCTGGGGATTAGGGGCTGTTGTTTTTTTTGTGATGGCATAAGAATAATTTGGGGAAAATTTTTACATACGGACACCCATCCTGACGACAACCACCAGTTATAAGCGGTGGGTTTAACCTTTTGCTCAAAAGCACTCAAGGCAGCGTGGATGCAGTTTTATGTCATGCCCAGGACCAGGTTATTAGATTAAAAGGTAAATGAAAAAGTGTAGTTATTGTCAAAAAACAAAAACTTTTAAAACATACCTAACTAGATCTATCCATTTCTTCTCGTTTTGTGATCAGTAGGAAATCTGAAAGAGCGACATGTTTGTCTTTCAGAATAATGATTAAATTAAATTCCGTTTTACGTTATAAAATTTATAATATAAATTTATAATTATATTATTTATATAATCACGGGTTGCATATCAACAAAGACAAAACGAAGTGGAAAAGTGGAAATATATCTATGAAAACAATGTTGTGAATGATAGAATCTTGCGTTTTTCCGAGCCAGCTCTATGCATGTGAGACATGGACAATAAAGAAAAGAGACAAAGACAGATTGAAAGCATTTGAGATGAAGTGTTACCGAAATTTGTTGGGAATCAGTTGGAGGCAGAAAGTAAAGAATGAAACCATCAGAAATCAACTTGGAAGACAGAAAATTGTATATGACAAAGTCAGAGAAAGAAAATTGGGATTTTTTGGACACATTTGTAGAATGAGAGAAGACTGATTAAGATGGTACTAATGAGAGAGAGATTGGAAGAAAAAAATTGGTAGACCTGCAAAGAAATGGATAGATGACATTACTGAATGGACTGGTGTTGGTATTCTGAATTCAATAAAACTGGCCAAAGATATGAAAGGTTTTTGGAAAGAATAAAGGAAAAAATAAAAGTAAAAAGCATGCTTAGATGTACACCATCGGCCTCGACGGTCCCTCGTTGAACAAAGGAGAATCATTGATTGATTGATTGATAATATAATTATATTATCAATCAATCAATCAATCAGTCAGTCAGTCAGTCTGCCAGCCAGTCAGTCAATTAGTCAATCATTTAGTCAATCAATTAGTCAACCAATTAGTCGATCAATCAATCAATCAATAAATCAGTCAGTCAATCAGTCAGTCAATCAATCAATCAATCAATCAATCAATCAATCAATCAATCAATCAATCAATCAATCAATCAATCAATCAATCAATCAATCAATCAATCAATCAATCAATCAATCAATCAATCAATCAATCAATCAATCAATCAATCAATCATCAATCAATCAATCAATCAATCAATCAATCAATCAATCAATCAATCAATCAATCAATCAATCAATCAATCAATCAATCAATCAATCAATCAATCAATCAATCAATCAATCAATCAATCAATCAATCAATCAATCAATCAATCAGTCAATCAATCAATCAATCAATTAATCAATAAATCAATCAATCAATCAATTAGCTTGTAAAGCGCTATTTCCGCGATGTTCAACAGCGCTCCTGAATAAATTTTGCAAACAAATGGGTCTTGAGACCCGCTCTGAACTTCGTAAGTGATGGACAAGTAGTCAGAGAAGGAGGTAGAGAGCTCCTGAGAAAAGGGCCAGAAAAAGCAAATGCAGATTTAGCAAAAAAGTGAGTTAAGAAGACGTGAGAACAAGAAGACGATCGTAAACTGGGGCGCTTAGGTTTAATCTGATAAGATAAGTACTAAACTAATTGATTGGTTGATTGCGTTGATAGATTTTGTTTTAAAATTTTCATGTTTCAGTTCACTTTTAAATTCACGATGTAAAAGAATACAAAATCTTGCCAATGGACATAGTGCGATGTGAAATAAAACTGTTTGTTCAAACATTTGATTTGATTATTTAACCAATTCATTTCGTCCGTGTTTTGTTGATTTTATAAGAGCATGCGATGAAGAGACAGAGTAAGGAGTTCAAGATTTATCAACGAATTGAATTGAAATGTTTGGAAATGAAGGAGATGATGTACCAGAGAAGGTGGGTTTGGTTTGGTTTTGGTTAGTTCATCTGTTCATCAGATGAACTACGTCAATTCGTCTCATCATCAGCGTCCGCTTTTCCTTTATTGTTTTCTTTCATTTAATTTTTCATTTTTGTTTTTTTTATTTATTTATTATTTTATAAACAATTAAAATTAAAGAAATGGTTGTTATTGAAATAAATTAGATTTATTATTAAAATTAATTTTAATTTTTTTTTAAATAAATTAAAAATGGTTACTTTTTTCACCACTTTTTTTATTTTTGGTATGTATGTAATAATTATGTATGATGGGACATTTTCATTAATTGATTTAATTCAACACTAGCTAATACTCTTAGAGAGCAGTAGCTAGTGTTGTTGAGCAATGTAATGGTACTTTGGTAGTAATATTTAGTAGTTAGTTGTGGTAAAATAAAATTTAAACATAATAATAAAAAGACCTTGTCATTGCTTTTCTACTTGGCGAAAGCTAGCAAACGTTCATTAGTAAATATCTTATTTTAAGGCATTTTGGAAAATAAAAAGTATAGTGAATTAAATGTTTTTATGAAATAACAAATAATTTAAAATTTATAATGATTTTTAGTAATAATTGTGAGTTGGTTAGTATCAGGGTTAGGGGTTAGAAAACATTTGTTGAACAAACGTTTGCTGACCTTTGATAAATTAGATTTACTTAAGATTTTTTCAGTTTAGACTTTAGAGTGTAGACATTTTAGAATTAGTGTTTTGATCAAAAACTAATCTGTGGAGTTAATTTAGATTTATTTAACTTTAACAAATATATCTTTATTAATTTTTTAATATCATTTACTACAATTACATTTTGTGCCGCTCTTTCCAAACTGAAATCAAATAAAGCACCAGGCCCAGATGAGATAGTTGTTGAAGAAATTAAATGCCTTGATGATTTGGCATTGAAAGAATGACAGAAATTTTGAATTAGATTTATAAAAGAGACAAAATTCCTGAAGATCTATCCAAGTCAATATTTATTGCATTGCCTAAAATACTAGATGCAACTGATCGTGAACTACATTAAGCAATCAGCTTGATGAGTCACAAATTTTTTTTTGAAAATTAATGATGAAAGCATGAAGCAAAATCAGATCTAGAATTTCAAATGTCCAATGTGGTTGTTTCGAGGATTATGGCACAAGAAACGCTATCTTTATGCTTTGAATGATCAGTAAGCGAGCAATTGAAATGTAGAAGGACTTGTTTATATGTTTTGTCGATTACTCCAAAGCTTTTGATAGTGTGAAAAGTGTGGAAATATAGGAAAATTTGGACATTGGTGCAAAAGACATGAGAGTTATCAAAAACCTCTATTGGGACCAAAAGCAGCGATGAAAGGTGGTAACAAGATAACTAGTTTTGACTAAATAAAAAAAGGTGTTAGGCAAGGCTGTCTATTCTCTCCAGACTTGTACAATCTCTATAGTGAGATCATTATGAGAAAGATAGAAGATCTACCGGGAATATCCGTTGGAGGCATGAATATAAACAATGTAAGATATGCTGATGATACAGCTCTTATAGCAGATTCAATGGAAAATTTGCATACAACTGTTTCCAAACTTGTTTTTGAAAGTGAAAGAAAAAGATTGGAAATTAAATCAACAAAACAAAGTGCATGGTTATCAGTAAAAGCAAAACCGCCCCAATCTGCTCCATGATCATTAATGGTAAACAAGTGAAACAAGTCAACAGCTTCAATTATCTCAGAAGTTTGATTATCTCATGTTGTAAATGTGATGTGGGTATCAAACGAAGGATAGGTATGGCAAAAGATGCATATTCTAAAATGAAAAACATCCACACCAACAGTAAAATCATAATATCAACAAAATTAACTTTTTTCCTGTGCTCACTTATGGTTCTGAGTTCTGGACAATTTCTAAAGAACCGGAAAAAAGGATCGATGCTGCTGAGCTGTGGTTTTTGAGAAGAATTATGAAAATTAGTTGGACCTCTCATACCTCCAATGAAAGAAAATTACTACAAATAATCTGAAGGAAACAGTTTGAAGAAAAGTTTTTTGGTCACATCATGTGGAAGGAAGAAACTGGAAATATTGCAAGGAGAAGGGATCGCGGTCAACAATGAGTTACTTGTCCTTGTCACTTGTTGAACATCACCCAATTTCAACTGCTACAAAGTGTTATAGATTGGGTTTTGTGGAGGTCAATGGTAGCCAATTTCCTGAAAGGATAAGGCACGAGAAAGAAAAAAGAAGACTGTTACATTGCATTACATAAGAATAAGATATTTCAATTAATATTTAAATTTTTAAAAATTTTAATTTAAAACTATCATCACAATTGTATTTACATTTTACTTGACATCAGTTGAGTATTACAGAATTAGTCTTTATTATTTTTCAGTGGCATCTTTTATTACTAATTTGTTATGTTTTTCTTAGAACTTTTAAATGAATTTTTGTTTTTGTTTTCACATTACTTGATTAAAGTCAGCAGCTTTTTTTTTTTATATAGCATGTGTATTG